CGTAAAAAATGCTTTTGATGTTCCAACTGTTTTTATTTAACTGAAAAAAACATTGAACTTTAATTCACCCATTTTCAATTCTTTTAAAAGTTTACTCTGCGTTGTCATTCTAAAACAAACAGGAGTAAAGTCTGAAAAGTTTTCCTGTGAAATTATCACAATTGTCATTAATTCTACACCCGGGGCGGATCCAGGGGGGGGGGGGAGGGGGTGCGCACCCCCCCCCCCCCTGAGATGACCTGCGGTTTTCTAATACAACTGGTATTCTGCCAAAAAAAACTATGCGGTTTATTGGTGTTGAAGTAGAGCAAGAGACGAGTGCACCCCCTCCTAGAAAAAATCCTGGATCCGTCCATGTACACTATGGAAAAATTTTGCCTCATGGATAATGAAGGAATAATGAAGGCCTCGATGCAAAAACGTCATATTGATAGGCTGGTAATTGTGTAAGTGATGTAAAGTCACTCAATTATTGCTCTCTCCATTTGTACCGAAACATTGTTGCAAACATTTTCTCTAAAGGTTTGTGCGCCATTTTCCACAAATTAGGTATGCAAAAACACAGGCAATGAGGGTCCCCCCTTCCCAAGGAAGAAAGAAACCCCCCGGCCCCTCTCACGCTATCAATATTGTTTTTTGTTGATTGAGGTGAAATTTGATAATTTTGGATAGCGTATTTTTTAGAAATATAATTTGGCATGATGTGCATGTTATTCATCAAACAAAGTGTTTTAATAGCTTGAATTAGGCTTCACTTCAACAAAAATCTTCGCGTATTCTTCAACATGGGGGGAGGGGTACCTGGCTAGCCTCCAGGTTAGTGCAAAGAAACGGATGCAATGAAGTGGATATCTTAGAACTTAGAATAAATTAATACTCCCAAAAAAAGATAGAGATTTCTCTAATACTGGGAGGGTACCGGTCAGCGGTTACAGCCTGTGCGGAAGTGAAGGCACCGTAGGTGATCTAATGGCAGGCAAAGCGGACTGCCTAAAGACAGCTTAATGTAGAAGATGACGTAACTCCATGAGGGAGCAGATCCCAGACTCTAATAACCGTAGAAACGACTAACCTCTATACCCTGAACGACTAGCCCACGATACAAAGCGGTGCTTCGAGAAAATTTAGTCAGTTCCGATTCAAAAGCAGTTGAGAATGTTGTCTGGAAATTTCAGTTGGAAAGAGAATTACTGAAGCAATTTTTAGGCAACTGTCTAGCTCTGAGCTGCATGGTAGCCACAGATATGACCAGATAGTAGTTGAAAAGTTTCCCTGTTTGGTGAGCCACGTATACTCTGCGTTCCGTAGTAGTTACAGCGAATATTGGCCTGATAATGGAAACGAAAAGTCGTATTGAAAAGTCGTTGTCGTATCAGTGTTTCGCTTTTTCACATTATCCAATATCCTATAGGGGATCAGGCCGTATGAACGTTTCCAGCTACCGCAGGATTAAAAGGTAGTTGTTAATTCACCCGCTTACAAGAGGAGGTCGCACGTGGAGGTTCCAAAGAATTAGACTTTATTATTTTGTGCTCTACATGTGGTGCTAGTGTAAGATACTAATGATCACATTACTGCCCTTTTGTTTTCCTCGCAGATGCAAGCTCTATTCTACCACAATCAAAGCAAATCACAGGCATTCCACGGTAATCTGGACACCAAATCTGTCCGCAAAGCCATCACTCTACACCCTGTCAAACAGCCCTCATACATGTACCGTCTACAGTCACACTTCATGACCATGCGCATTCAAGACCTTCAGCACCAGGCTATCCTGCTGCAGAGAGTTCTCAAGAACATGGATCGCTTGCTAAGGACTAGCGCGCGCTTTCTTTCTACTCAAGAGAAAACTACCCTTCAAAGCGCTAAAGATTTCCATCAGCAGCTGAGCGCCAAGTATTCGGAATCCTGGGACATGTTTACAGCGCAGAAGTACTACTCGGAAGCCACGCTTCAGCCACCTGAAACAGGCATGCGAGATCCGTGGAAAGACGGGCTAAATCACGTGCTAGGGCAAACGATGGGGCTGATAAATGAGGAAGCCAAGCGAGTTCTTCATCGCAGCCTCGAGTTCAAGAAACTCAACCATGGTTACATGCGCGTGCATCCCTTATTTGGTGCTCAGTACGTCATGGACATGCTTATGAAGTATCACCGGCACATTGGACACAACAGAAGGCGCATGACTGTGCACGTGCGTCATCACGCCTTTTTACAGCTACCTTTTGGAAACATGGTGTACCGAGCTGAACCGACGGCAAAAGCGGTCCCAACCGTTCATTTTATCCTTCCGTTGACAGGCCGCATCGAAACATTTCGGCGCTTTATGAAGAATTATGAAGACGTTTGTCTCAAACGACGCGAAAGTGTCAAACTTCTGGTGGTATACTTTCCATCGGTGTCCCCGCCTCATGAGCATAAGAAAGTTATGAAAGACTACCAAACTAGGTACCCCAGGGCAGATCTGCTGTGGTTAGAAGCCATAGGGGACTTTTCCCGTGGCTTGGCCCTCTCTTTGGGTGCTAACCAATTCGACAGGACAGCCTTGCTGTTCTTTTGCGACGTTGATTTGGTATTTAGTGCGGAATTCCTTTACCGTGCCCGTATGAACACTGCTCTCGGTCAGCAAGTTTATTACCCAATGGTGTTCAGTCAATTCGATTCTGACATTACATACCCGAACCATACAGCACCTCAGACTCACTTTGCAGTAGACATGGATACAGGATTCTGGAGGGCTTACGCTTTCGGCATCGTTGCCGCTTACAATCACGACCTTCGTGCCGTTGGAGGGTTTGATACAACGATTCAAGGCTGGGGGCTGGAAGATGTGGACTTGTACGAGAAGTTTGTCAAACACGAAGAGATTCGAGTGTTCCGTGCAGCCGATCCTGGCCTCGTTCATGTCTACCATCCTGTGATCTGTGATCCTAAGCTTGTCGATCGGCAATATGCCATGTGCCAGGGATCGAAAGCTTCGGGTTATGGCTCACAGAAGTCTTTAGTTAGAGATATGTTGTCTAAAGGGCATTTAAAAGGGTTCTAGATTGATTGTCTATACCCGTATTTAATAGTTGTTCTTTTAAGACGGATAGTTTTAGGTCAAATACTGCTATGATGGTCAAATTCTTGAGACACTTCAAGTATTATATTAGTGTTAAAATTGTTAAAATTGATTGTCTCTACCCGTATTTAATAGTTTCAGTTTTTAAGATGGATGATTTTAGGTCAAATACTGTTATGATGATTAAATTCTTGAGACGCTTCAAGTATTATATTAGTGTTAAGATGTATTTTTAAATGCCTTTACGCAGAATTTGCTTTTGTACATCAGAACTATTTTAGACCAACAATTGTTATGCTTGATTCTGCGGAGCTTTTTTAAAAATTCACCCACTAAATTTCTAGTTTTTATTAAACGACAGACGAAGGTGAAAATTCCTCTGCGGAAACAGGTAAAAGATTCCGCGCCCCCCGTTGGGAGGGGGGGGGGGAGACTCCAATATAACAGTGACAGGGATGCTCATCGTCTCGCTTTGGGTTGTAAATTGCACACTTTGGGTTTTTGGGATGGAATGTTACTGTATTTGCCCTAAAGAAATTTACAAAAAATGCCCTGACACTGACTACATAGAAATCTCCCTTTTGAGCGTCAGCCGCACCCACATTGATCTCCCTTCGGGGCTTACTTTGAATTTTCCAGCGAGCATCCCCCTCACTTTTATATGGGAGTTCCCCCCGGAATTCCGCGTGCCCCGGAGTGCTCTAAGTCCTTTGAGCAACGTCTGCAGTTTTAGATTAACAATTTAGATTACGTACTTATGACATGAGAGTCTGCTACACAGCCGTCACTAAAAACGGCTGTTTAGCAGACTGGTTACATTAAGACTATTTATTGCTTGTTAGAGGTATAAAATGTCTAGATTACTATGGTGAGAAGATGGTCTCTTTTTAAAGGAAATATTTATGAAATAGTTTTACTGTGCCCTTTTGTCCGCCTTAGGCTAACGCTAATGAGTTCATTTTGTAATAAACGGTCAAACTATGAAGGTCAAGGCTGTAGAAAATGTACCAAATGGTTGAATTCCAGTATGAAAATTTTATCCATTGGAGTGAGCAACGCTTTACTCCTGAAAGTCTAGATCCCTCGTTTCGAAGGAGATCGAGATTGTTGTAGAGGCTGATATTTGATTGTAGCTTATTAGTAGTTTACTATTCTAAAGTAAGCTGGTTATACCACAGGTAGCCAAGCTCGAAATATAAACATCGGCGAACATCGACATTGCTGCATAACATTCGAAATATAAGGATTTGTGTGGAAAAAAACCTATCGTTTCCGTAACCTAGGACAATGAAAGGATTTCAATAAAAAACAGCTTACCTTATATAAAATGTGTGTTACGTCTCTCCTGTGTGGTCCGTGGGCCGATTTATGGCCGTATTATGGATTGTACAGTGAACGGTTTTCTCTCTATATAAAGGTTTACCAAGGTTGGGGACTCTAGCGAAGCTGCCCGCCGGATCCACCGAAGGAAAACGGCCGTATTTTTCTCGCTTCCTCTCAAATCGCCCCCACCCCCTAAAAAGTTTTGACACTCATAAACGATGGCAGCCCGTAACGCAAAGCGTGGATCTTGACGATCTGACGCGAAAATAGAGGACTGTGAACAGTCTAGCGAATATGCCCTCCCCTGCAGCTATAATCCCCGACGCCCGCCCCCTCGGTACACTTGAAAACCGAGATGGCCGCCATTAACGGTAAGACGCACTATATCTCGATGATCTCACGAAAAAATAGGGGATTGTGAAAAGTCTAATGCTCGTATTTCGAGCTTGGGCTACCTGTGGTTATACGTATTTAAATGCAGACAGTAAATTTATCTTTGAGAACTTGATTTCTTCAGTTTCTATCACCAGATGGTCTCCACGCTAAAAACGTATCACTTTTTCTTGTTTGTTTGCTTGTATTATACAGTATTGCTAAGGTAACGAGGATAACCGTAAGATAAAATATTTTCAGCGGTTTGCGTGAAGTGGATCGTCTGAAATTCGAGAGGTGTTCCGCGAAACCAGACGGAAACGAAATCCCAGGTCGTACCAGACTGTGAAGGCTTATCTATAAGGAAATTTTGAAGTCCACTGTTCGCTATCATGAAGCAGTATGTGTATCCTTTTTTATGCGCTGCATTGCCATCTTTTGTAACATCCCTTGGTCTTCTCATGCCTGTGGTGTTTATGAGTGTATTCTGCACAGATAAAGCTACTTGCTTACTTCGCTGGATCGTAACAAACGCTTTCCCCTCTTGCATTACAAAGAAAAACGACAATGGAGTGACGAGATGGTTTTTCGGGGACATAGATCTTACGACTTCAGAGGAGCTGTTAAGTAAAGTTCTTTCCAGTCTATCCGCGTTGTTCCTCATGCTTTTCTTCGTGGCTTCGAATTTATTCTGGTCGACACTTCTGCTTGACATCACCACCAGCTGCAAGCCGAATGACCATACCATCGAGTGTTTCAAGAACGATGTGAAGGAAAATGTCAAGTTTTGGAAGGCTTTTTCGCGTTTAAGTGATGATCCCATCGACTGTAACAGCGCTGAGTTACAGAATGGATCAGTAGACGTGATTTGTTACCAAATCGTCTTCAATATTGGAGCAGCATGCGGTGCAGGTTACGGAGCATTCAAGCTCGCTGTGATCATCCTGAATGCTGCTACCACCTTGATGATGCTACATCAGAGATCTCGAAGCGTAAAACGAACAAGAATTATCATTGGACTATCACTCACTGCCATATATGTGGCTTTAGTGGTTTCTGGAGTCGTGGAAAGCAACAGGGGTTCCGCAATCGTCAAACCCGATTCTCAAGGTGTTGTTTTGGTTCTGCAATTTTTAATGTTTTTTTTGGGAATTATATTTGTGTTTTTTGTACCTTGGAACGAACTAGTTACCCTTCGAAATAACATGCATCTTTACGAACCCATTGTTTAGTAAATGCGTGACGCGAAAATTAAGTGCGTATTTCCGGAAACTTGACAAGAAAGAGCGCGACGCATGAGCTGTAGGCTACGAGTAGTCCCCCATTTTTCCTCAGAGATAGTAGAGCGAGCGAGACGCGAGCTCGCCTGAAAATCACCCCACGCGAGAAAAGGCAACCCGCGGCGGAGAGAGAAATTTTTCTCTCTCCCAGCCGCGTGTCGCCTTTTCTCGCGTGGGGTGATTTTCACGCTCGTTCGCGTTTCGCTCTACTATCCCTGATTGACGAGATCAAGCAAAACTAACTACAAGAGAACGACTGGAGAACTGACAATTTGTCTAACAATAGACGACTGTTTAACTGTGACAATAGACGGATCGAAATGCACCAGTTACTAATTACGAGTCTTCACAGCCAATAACATCACGGCTTAACTAACAGACGACCAATAACATCACGACGTAATTGACCAATCAGATCAATAACCATGAATAATACCATCAACTGATGTGAGACAACTCACTTTGACTCTGAAGATGACTACCGCACAGGTTGTCGAAACGTCAGTCACTGTCAACTAAAACAGTCCTATTCAGGACCACGTTCACCAGGACGATCAAACTCAACCTACTTTTGAAAAAAGAACTTTATAGCATAATTGAAGAGAAATAGGTCAGAATACATTTGAATACTCCCGGCTCCAGTTGTTCAAAAGGTGGATAGTAATGATTAATAATAATAATAATAATAATAATAATAATAATAATAATAATAATAATAATAATAATAATAATGATGATGATTTATTATTGTTATTAATCATTACTATCCACCTTTTGAACAACCGGCTACAGTTGTTCTAAAGGTGGATAGCACTCTTCACTGGATAAATCACTATTCAGAGGGTAACGCAATTGGTTTTCGTAATATTTACCCGCTGGATAGCGAGTTATCCGGTGGATAGCGCTATCCAACTTTTGAACAACCGGGGCCAGTCTGAAAAAGGAGAGAATTATAAGGGTATTTGAGGAAATAAGAAAGGCTTGTTTCTTGGACACTGACTTCACACCCGTTAAAACTTCCAGACAATCTCTATTGAATTGTTTTATTACGATCGTCTTTCCTTTTTTTTTTACAAAATGTTATAAATTAAAATTTTAGGTTATAAAAACAATAAAGTAATAATTCTCTTATTATTACATGTATGTCACTAAAAGAGCAGTAAGTTTAATAAAATGCACTTATCCCGTCATTCATCATAGCCTGCGCTGCCTCCCACGCACACGTTCGGTTCTTAGGGCTTCGTTATGCAATTTTGTACAATGTTGTATGCTACTGAAAGACAGTGTCTTTGCACAGTGAATTAATAACTTTAAATGCAGTTTAAAGATGAGTGTGAGCCTGGTTTTAGCTACTGAACTCTTAACTGAACTCTCTCTTCCCCTACAGCCTGCGTGGCAGGAGTTAAAAGGAAAGTGGGGAAGGGGAGTTCGGGCACGCCCCTCTTCGTGCACCCCTCTTAACTCGCACACCCAAAATGAAACAGTTCCTCCTTCCCCTTTCCCTTTTAACGTCTGCCACGTAGGCTACATTCATTGTGTTCCCATTAACACAGTCAAAGCTCCTGTGCTGTCAAAAACGATCAAAAACCAATCTTGCTTCGCTTTCCCTTCGATGGATTCATTTGATATCCTTCTTTTAGAGTTCCGAGTACAGTTGAACCTCTCGGTACGGACACCTCTCTATTACGGACAGTTTCAATGTCCCGACAAAATTCTCATATATTTTCTTTAATAACACCTCTATAATATGGACTCTCTCTAATACGGACAACGGACACTAAATCTTGGCACCAAGAGAGTAAATTCATGTAAACTTAACTTCTTTGTTACGGACACCGCAGTGATCAGGTGAATTCCGGGTCCCGCTCAGGTGAATCTGCACAGTGTGAATCCCGTCTTGTCTGGCTGGTGAGCTATGCAAGGTGATATAAAGCCCAGTCGCTGTATACCAAATAACGATTTGCGAAAGGTGTACAGAGGACCATAACCGACTCTTTGAAGGCTTCAATAACTACAGATAGCATTGAGTTTTTTTTCTATCACATTTTGTACTCTAGTTACTGTTTACTGCACTTGCAAAATAGCGAAAGACGCTTTCAGAATTGTGCTTTACGTTACAACTTTTTACATGCAGCATTGCGCTGTAGCTTGTTTCGTTTTAAAACAGTAATTTGTCTAGCCTGTTCCAAGCGTAGCCGAGATGTACAATGTTGTATCCTACTGAAAGACAGTGTCCTTGCTGAGTGAAATAATAACTTTAAATGCAGTTTAAAGACGAGTGTGAGCCTGGTTTTAGCTACTGAACACTTAAAACTGTAAGTGGAGTCATTTAAGTGACGTCATCATAGTGACCTCTTTTATATGGACAACTCTCTAACACGGACACTTCACTCTGTCCTTTTGGTGTCCGTATTACAGAGGTTCAACTGTAGGAGAAACAATGACTAAGCCTTACAACACTTAAGTGCCCAACAAAACTGATTCTTTCACATATTTAGAAAATCTGCTGACAGTGATTTTAATAAATTATACTGAGAGCATGCATAACAAAATAAATAATAAAAAAATGTTGGAATCAGTACTTCAAGTCAGTTCAAGCAACTTCAGCATCATCCTCATTAGCTAGCAATCCATATTTCTGTCTGATTGCATCCGTTCTCATCTTTCGCTCCGCCCTTCTCTCAGCATGTCGCTGCTTTATTTCCTCGCGTCTTCTCTGCATTTTTCTGTCTTCTCTTTCATAGCTTTTCTGTTTGCGTTTTCGGCAGCAGAGACAGTACACACCGCACCCGATAATAACCAGAACAACAAAACACACACTGGGAATTACGTAGATAAGGATGCTACCTATGACAACAAAAGTGAGGAAAGAAGAGGTTAGAGAGAAGAGAGAGAGAAAGAAGAAGAGTCGTGGATGAGAGGACCACAGGCGTGCCCTCTTGTAATACATTTTAACATGTGAACAGTAAGCTCGGATGTCAGCATACAAAGGCGCCACTGGCAGCCGCTGTCAGTCCATTTGTGAGCTTACTGTACCCACCCTCCCCATGATGTGAATGATGTGAGTCACAATTTTGCCCTAAGCGAGACGTAAGTGTTAATGTTGACTTAGGGAGTGGTAGGTGGTTAAATTGATCCTATAGGGATAGGTGTCAGGACCAAGACAAGGTCCTTTGGATAGAGCAAGCATTCCATCAACATCATGGTTGGATTTAATTTTGATTGATTGAATTCCCTATTTGTTTGACAACTAACAGAAATTTGTTGGCATCTGGCATCTTTGAATACAGAAGTCTCTGACAATCAAATCAAGCCCTGCATTTCTAAACCATGTTTTGCGACCACAAAATTTGCAAAAGGAATGAACTATCAAAACAGTTAAACTGCTGCAGCACTGTTTGCGAGATCAATCACGGATATATTTGCCATATTACTCATTCAAAATAATTTGCCATTTCTGATTGGCTCCAATTCCTTGGTTAATTTGTCATATAACTGGCGTTTCATACCATACTTGGGGATGCAAGCAATATACCACAACTGGATGGTATATTTCATTGTAAATGAGGTTTATCGATTGTATATTTGAATGGAAAAAAGGCTGCTTCAGCAGTAGTCCAGGGGGGGGGGGGTACTCCCTCATAAGGGCTTAACGGGGACGTGCGGCCAAGGGCGGGGGGGGGGGGGGGTACTCCCTCATAAGGGCTTAACGGGGACGTGCGGCCAGCCAGGGTAAGTTTTTCGGGATTTTTGTCTTAAACAGGGTATCGAATTTATCATTTTTTGTCTTAATCAGGGTATCAATTTATCAATTTTTGTCTTAAACAGGATATCTTTTCTTGGACGATAAACAGCAAAATTTTAACAAGCTCTAATGTTAATCAATATTGACTTCCGTTGACTTAAACAGGGTATCAAAAATCGGAATTCTGTCTTAAACAGGGTAGGAAAATCAGCGATATTTGTCTTAAACAGGGTCAAGGGTATGAGGGGCCGCGCCGCACCTCCCCACCCAGGGATATATTGAGTACCCTCCCCCCCCGGGGCAGTAGTGAACTAAAAAATGGTGTTTACAACTATCCAAAAGATGAAATAGCTCAATTCTTGACTGAAATTGAATGCGAGAAATGCAAGAATATGCAAAACACATTGCTCTATGTATGTAATCTACTTCTTAAGGAGTATCTGCTAGACTAGAAATACCTATCTCATAACCCCTAGCAAAGTGAGGAACAAAACTCAGTGTGCCACTAGCCTGCGAGCAAGCTCTCCAATATGGCTAGCAAAGCAAGCCGCAAGAGAACGTGCAAATGAGCGGTGGAGCTGTGCAAAGGGGAAAGAAATTCTTTTCCCGCCCCAAGCACTCACGTCTCTTTTCTTGTGCGGCTCTTGCATGACTTCTAGCGACTACCCGGAATGAAGAGCTTGCTCACAGGCTAGTGTGCCACTCAATTTAAGCCCCACTGGACTGGGTAGGAAACTAGATTGATGATCAGCGAGAAAATAGAATATAGAGAATATTTTACTCTTTACTCTCATGTTTTCTTCTTTTTCTCGGAGGATGTTATCTACCTCAGCCCCATCGGCTCTGGTGGATAACATCTTCCTTGATCTGCATAATGCTTCACATCATTCTCATTCAATAACTGTTAATCACACCATGATTGACATCTGTCACCGACATCATGGATGCAATAGTAACATGCCAAACATCTTTAAAATTTGGTAAGCGCCAACTAGCAGCTGGTTAACTAGGGAATAAAAGCCAGTAAGTCAGAGAAGGAGAAATGTTTAAGGAAATTATAAAGTGCCTTATAAAGTGTCTCATCTCTTGTTTCTTGAGAAACTTTCCCGTTAAACCACATTTATAATCGATATCGCACCGTTATAGTTTTAGTGGAACAACTTCAATTTGAAATAAACAGGTTACCTGCAGCAAAGCATTGCTTCCAATACCAGTCATTGCCTTTACAATCGCGGGGAATTATCTTGCTTGCCGGGTACTTTTTACAAGAGTGGTCAGCACTACACCAAAAACATTTTATATCTTTGACACATTCACCGCAAGACGCATTCCCTTGAGTACACGTAAATTGAGGAATAGTGGTCGGAGCTACAGTTGTTGATGTTCCATTAGCGTGTGTCGTCGACGGAGCAAATGTGCTTCTTGAAGAAGGTACAGGTGTCGTTGACAAAAAGGTGCTGTTTTTCGCACTATAAACGTGTCTCCACAAGCAAATCGCTAGCAAAAGAGAAAGAAGCCACTCTTTCATGGTCTACAGCTGAATATGTTGACTAAATGGGTATCAACTGAAGGAAAGTAAAGGTTGTTTTTGAAGAACAACGCTTATTGAGAAACGTTCAATGACAATTGCGTAAATAATTTATGCATACAGGAAACAAAGCGTAAGAGCGATCTTTTTGGTCAGCGGTGGAAATAGAAAGAAAAATGGCGGTAAGTTGAGCTGTTGTTAGGCGCCTTTTGTTGATCGTTACTCTCTTGTGGAGTTTAGGCTTTTTACTTTTTATCTTGGAGTTGGTAACTTAGAATAAAATGGCACAACCTAAGCAAATTACCCAAGACACCTTCGATGCCGTTGTCCGGGAGAATATAGACGAGTTTGAAATGGATTTGGCCGAGGCTGTTAAAGATGCTAAGGATCAGTTTAAAACTCAGGGTGTGGACTTGTCAAACTTGATTACATCATACGTGAAAGATCCGGACACAGGTGAACTAAAACACAGCAATCCAGTCAAAGGTAATGGCACACTTTTAATACGTCTTACAGCTAAGTAATGTGGCTTAAAAGAAGAATCCTTAGGTTAGATGGATTTATCAAGAGAGACAGTGGGCCCCAGGGGCCCCACTCACATATTTTAATGACGGGGGGGTCCGAAGGATTTTTTTGGGTCTGACATTTTGGCCAAAAGGGATTATTTTGGGTCTATGAAAGACGCCGGGATTTTTTTGGGTCGCGAAAACATTACAGGGATTTTTTTGGGTATTGTACTTTTCATCAGCTCAAATCAAAAATATTATAAGTGCAATTTATAGTTTTGTTTTTGACCAAAACCAAAGTTGAAGTTGGCATGTTTTAGCTTTCCAGATGATAAATAATAAAATTTGCTGATGCAAAAACACTGAGGGATTTTTTTGGGTAGACAAATTCTGAAGTTGGGATTTTTTTGGGTATAAAATATGAACCTCTGTCGGACCCCCCCCCTCCCCCCCTGTCAATAAAATATGTGAGTGGGGCCCCTGGGCAGTGGGCACTTTCCATTCAACAAAATTTTAAAATTCCTGTTTGAAATTTCGGAAATTCCACGTACCCGATGGAATGGTACATTTCGGTCGCACAGACCTCACCCAAGCGACCGTGTGTTTGGTTATTGTTCTTCACTTGCAAGCAGGATACAAAAGAGCGGTACTGGGGACAACACTTTTGTCAAATGGAAAGGGACATTTTGGTCCAACCAACCAGACCGCTAAAAGAAGACCACAAGATGGTCCTGAATATTCCAGTCGGACCAAACCGAAATGGTCTGTTCCATTTGACGTACCAACCGAAATTTCCAGAATTTTGGGTTCAATGGAAGCCACCCACACTTAAGCCTAACTTTAGTTAACATTTTATTTTGTTATAGACCAAGAGTAGGCTAGATAATTTTGAAGGATTTTAAAGGAAATAAGGAGAAAGGCAGGGTGCAAAGACAGTCAGTTTTATGGCTTTTAGTTCAGGCAAGCTGTAGCTAGCATGTAAATAATATAGCCCAAAAGTCATTTCAACTACCCTGAAAAAACTCCTTGATAAGCATTGATTACAGTTCTTCTGTAATTTGAATTCCCCCAAAAATTTACTTCGCAGTGGTATTGGGCATGTTAAGAACAGAATTCACTAGCCTTACAGCAAAATTCACTAGCCCCAGGCTATCAGACACTACTTTTTTTGGCATACTGTGAGAGCCTCTCCAAACTCAGGAGAAGTGTCAATGTGAGCCTTGGTGCATGTGGTGGGGTGGGGGAAGGAAGGGAGTCAGAGGTGCTGTCCCTGTGCCTTCAATACTATTATTTACCTATGGTGCACTTGAAGCTAAGGCGAAAGATGAAAATAAAGTAAACTCTCTCTAAGATAGACTCCTTCGAGGCCAGCACAAAGGGGCTGTTTTCGAAGGTTGAGGTGCCCGCACAACAGTCCAGTCAAAGAAAATGAAGGAATAAAAGGAAGCAGTGCCCAACATGTGGTGTCTGTTCTGTGAAGGTTTTATATCGTGTATTCTCCCCTGCTCACTACTTACGGGTCAAATGAAGTCCTCTCTGGGAGTCCCAGGGTTCGCACAGTGTTGAAAAGTCCTTGAATTTTCTTCAACTTTGAATGTAGTGGCCTGTAAAGGGTTTTTTAAATGCTTTTTGGTTATCCAAGACAATATAAATCATAACTCAGAAAAGTTAAAGGCTATTTACAAAAAGGGCTCTTTGTTTATGCAATAATTAACTATCAACTTAAGACAAGAGAAGTTAGTGGAGAAAACAGTTCAACTTCGAGCCTTAAAGTCTTGTTAGAATAGACTGGGAATGTGCATTTTTGTACAATGTGTGACTTATATTCCTGGTAGGTGGTCCTTGAAAACCGAATGTAGACCTTGAAAGGTCCTTGAAAAATGGTTGAATTTTTTTGTATGGACCCTGACTCTGGGGCAAGTAGATTTTTCTTGCAGGGCAAGTAACGTTCGTCCTCAAACAAAATCATTTGCTAAGACAAGCAAGGAGTGGCCATGGGTGAGCAGAATGTGAGAGCTGGAATTCCATATTTTTTCTAGCCCTGCTTTTCTAGGGATGGTCCTCTGAGGAAAGATATCACGTTCATGAATTTCTTGCTCTCAAAGTTTACCCACATCCAGCATCCACAATGACAGTTCTCAAAATTTTGTGATAATAATGATATGTTTTTTCTAAAATTTCTTGTAGATGCTTTGGAAAAGATAAAGACATCCTTGCAAGAGGGAGAAGCAGAACCTCTTTTGGAAGGACTAAATAGTCTTTCTCTTGAGTGCAACAAAAATGAAAATAATAGAAAATTTGCAGCAAGCAAAGATGCCTTAAACTTGCTTTACAACTCATGCAATCATGGTTATTTATTGAAGGATAAAAATGTTCTTGGTGCTAGTTTGGATGCCTTGTCATCACTTTTGAGTGGTCAAGGAGAGCTGGTAAATTCTAATATGATTGAATTCTTAGCAAACAGTTTGAAGGAACTAAAAGAAGACATTTTGTTTGGGAAAATTGTTAAAGCTGTAAGAACAGCCTGTGTCAAGAGTGAATCAAATCGTCAGACATTTGTTGCAAATGGTGTTATACCTTGCCTGGTATCTGCTTTAATGGAATACAAAAAGTCCTCAGAGATCATTGTAGAAATATGTTCTGCTTTGCGTGTTTTCACATTTGATGATGACATGAGTGTAGCCTTTGGAAAAGCTCACGAGCATGCCAAGTTGATTGTGACAGAGAATGCTCTCTCCATTATCCTGAACATTATGGAAACCTGTGAAGATGTCGATGTTGCCAGTGAGTTGTGTGTCACATTAAGTCGTTTGGCTGTACGAAATGAATACTGCAAGGATATAGTTGATCTGGGTGGATTAAAAATGGTGCTGAAGCTATTACAAGAACATACTTCCAATCAGGTTTGTATCATCACAGGTAACCCAAGCTCGAGTGATCACTTTTACATAACAGAAATGTTATAAGGGTTCTTCAACTTTTCACTGATACTGGCAGAATCCTCCATCCTGATGAAATACTCCTCTCTCTAAGTTGTCAAGAATATCAAATGTGTATCAAGAATTTGGGGCCAAAAATAGTGGAAATTAAGGTTGCGGACTGAATTAGATGTAACGCTCCACTGACTTAATAATAATAGTATTATTAATGGCACGGAAATTAATGTGTAGAAAAATTAATACAACTTAAATTAAAGCAAATTTTTGAAATTCACATTGATTTCTTGAAGCATTAATTTCTTATAATAAGGTATAATAAGTAACTGAAAATTGATTGTAATCTTCTTAAAATTCCAGAATATTGCAAAGCAGGTGTGCACACTCCTAAGGGCAATAGCAGGAAATGATGATGTCAAGACTTCTATTGTTGATGCTGGAGGCCTGTTACTTATTGTGGCAGCTATGGCTACCCATGCTAAACAACCAACAGTGGCAGAGCAGGGTTGTGCTGCACTGGGGTCCATTGCTCTACGCAGTCCCCCAAACTGTACCGCCATTGTTGGTGCTGGGGGAGTTGAGGCCATCTTGAAAGCCATGCAGATTCATCCAGAGAAATCTGGAGTACAGGTATGGTGGTTTGATTCTCTTGGTAGAAGACCCTTTCAGCATTGCGGAGACAGTCGTAAGTGACCATCCCCCATAAGCGACCACTTATCCAAAACAGGGCTTTGCTCTAGCAGAGCCCAGTGACCCCTGGCGCTTAACTTTTGCCCTTGGGCAACTAGAAAATCTCAGTTTCTTCATACAAATCATATGCTGGGCACCCTAGATTTTACAGCTTCAGGGCACTGGGCTCCCTTCAATTTTCCTTAGAGCACAAGCTTGCAAAACACCAAACCTTTTTCCAGGCAAACTCTTAAAGTTGGAACCTCTTGCAAGTGACCATCTCCTATAAGGCGTTTTCTATTGTTTTTAACATCTTGTAAGCAACTTCTTGATGCATGGTCTGATCTCTATGTTCACTATATGTACCATGCTATTCAGAGTATGTGAAAAACTTTTAGGGACAACATGGAACAACACATATTGTAACTAAGAAATTTCATGCAAAGAATTATCTTCCATAAAGTAGATAAGTCTTCTCCTCTTCTCTGAAGAGACCTTTGTGGTTTGACGCCTGTAAGCAACCACTTCCCATAAGTGACCACTAAATCTTCGCATTTTGGGTGGTTGCTTACGGAAGGTTTGACTGTATCTGGATTATGCTGGACCACGGTCATGGACATTTGAAGCTTGCTTGCCTTTACTCTCCCTGCAGCTCAGTAGCTGAATGCCTGTTCAGGTTTTGAGCCTAAGATCAAGCATCTTTCTGTATAATCATGACATACAACACATTTTCAGGTCTTAAAAATATAATGTAAGCTCAAATTTGATTGCCTAATTAAGGAGATGCTCTTTATAAGAAAACTCAAACTATCCCTAAACGTGCAGGCGGACTCGATTTGCGCAAAGGTATTCTCTTGAAGAACTTGTGATCCTTTGTTATTATACTAATTTGTAGAGACTATAGAAATCAAATCTTCGCATTACTTATTCATTTTGCCTTGGGAATGGTGTCATGATGATACCGAAACGTCGGCTTTTAAATTTAATATTTGCTTGCTTATGTTTTAAGAAATGGTTATTGATCAAGAATGTAAGCTCAAGTGTCTTATTTCATGTCTCAATCTGCACATGTTCTGTGATTGATCAGTTTGTGTGGTACAAGGTAATGTATGCACACATGTGTTCTGTTGCACTATTAAAATTTGAACTACCCCTAGATATGATACTAGTAAGTATCTTACTGATCTGGTATCCAAAAACTGTTTACTAGTAGCTTCTGATATGTTATCACATCTTGTGTTTTTATTCCCTTTTTTCTTTCTTTCTTTCCTTCTGGTCCATGACGAAAAACTTGGCTGGTAAATTTCACCCACATTACCTTAAACGTTGTTTAGCAAGAGGCATTTATTATGCTAACTGTTTTTACTAAAATACTCACAACTCCTTGAACTTTTCCAATTATATGTAATTTTTCATTTTCTGAGAGTACGTTAACGCTGCCCATGTTTTGATTTATTTTTTTGTTTGTTTTTGTAGAAACAAGCCTGTTTAGCCATTCGTAACTTAGTTGCTCGTAACCCAGAGCACCGTGACATCATACTTGAGGCAGGAGGTGAGAGTTTGATCAGAAAGGCTTATACACAGATGCCTGATTGTGAAGATTTAGCCAAGGGTGCTTTACGAGATCTTCTGTGTGAAGTGGAGCTGCAGGAACTGTGGACTGGAACTGGGCAAGGCAAAGTCCATCACTGATTAACTGGACATTATAATCTTTGTTATACTACTACATAAAAAATTACTGCAATTTGATTGGCTTAGAGCAGTGGTATTTCAGCTTAATTTGAAATACCTACATGTGAAAATTACAAACCTTTTGTGGGTAGAAGTATAAACAAATAATAGCATGATTTGTACGTGATATTTGACATAAATACCACTAGTGATATTTCAAAATTGTCTCAAATTTCACTCGCCTAACGGCTCGTGAAATTACGTATAACAATTTCGAAATATCACTCGTGGTATTAATGCCAAATATCACTACAAATCATGCTATTACCTATACTAATATGGTGTGTCAAAGAAAGACTTCAAGAAAATAAAAACTATCTTAAATTCCCTTACACAGAATTTATCTGAAAAAACTTGTGGCTCTTTCAGAAAGAATCCAAAAGCTTTCATAGTAATGGTAACACTTTTAAATTTCTTCCAAAGATTACAAAGTAAGAATTTCAAACTTTTGGAGCATAATAAATATTACAGGAAACTGCTCAGTCGCTTTCAGCCAAATAGTCACTCTAAAGGGTTTCATTCGAAGACCCAATATTTAGGACTAGCTAGAACAGCAGATTGCCACAGGAAGGTTACAACTAAGTAGCTTTCATTGGACAGCGTTTTTGGATGCGTTTAGAGAGGGCTGTACTAACTAAATAAGTACTTGGTTCAAGAACACTTGGCTTTTGGACACACCCCAAATTAATGGTTTGTGTGAATATGAAAGAAGTTGGTACAAGAAAATCGGCCAGTGTAGAAACATTTGTAAATAAAGGATTTGAGGTATTGACTAACAAGTCGAGAAAGAAAACATGATCGCCGTAGAGAGATGATTGGTATCCCTTTTACCCGCATTCCTGACCTAGGTAACCTTGATCTCACGAGGAATAAAGACCGGATTCGGAAGAGCGGCAGAAATCGAGCCTAGAAAAGAACACACACAAACCATGCACATATTCTGTGAATAACAGAAATTTTTTTCTCAGAAAAGAAAACCAGACTCAGACTGGACCTCATTAGTTCCTGCGAGTAAAGTATAAAAAATCTCCTGCAAAAATAAACGCCCTTACGGTACTACATTTATCAATGAATCAATGCAGAAGAGCTTTATTGCCTTTATTTCAAGTTGGCTTGCTTAATAGCTAACTGTAGCGGAAAAAACGTGCAGACGCCAAGCGGTAATGACAATTTTCTTTTCTTTTAATGCATTACTAAGGTTTTGATACTCTTTTTATCTGTGGGCAATGGCTAAATATAATGTTTTTGCATCTTTGAATCATCGTTGATGAAGGGGTATGGGCCATGGGAACAGCAAAGAAAAAATGCATTCAAAGGCCGCGTCTCAATCAGCGTTTGGCTTTAAAAGCGTAATACGAATCTTTAAACCGCAGGTTTTATTGCCGGGGCTTAAGCGTCCGAGTCATTATCTCCCAAGGAAACCGGGGCCATCCCACAGGTATAAGTACAGGTTCCTGTTGCCATCTGATTGCCTGGGTGCTTCATAGTTTCCACTAATGAGAATGCAGCAGGCAATGTGCGCAGTTCAGTTCCGCATGACAGCATGGCTGAAAAGCAAAAACGAAGATAAGATAAAGCTTAACGTCCCCCTTAATCTGTTGCAGGAGTCTTCTTAGTTACACACGATTAAACAGACGTTTGGTGCCTTTCCGAAAACTGACTGGGTATGTGGTACTATGTACTTCGTTCCCTCCTGTTCCAGTCAAATTCGGTTGCTCCTTAAGACGCGGCCCTTTAAATGCCCTATACCATTCACAATCAAGCCAAAGTAGTAATGTAGCAGCTCCCCGGACTTCTCAGTGTGGTCGGAAAAGACTCATGACAAAATTTTCCTCATGGCAAATACCCGTGTTTATTTTGAGGCCCTTGTGTTTTTTAACACACTAAAATTTGTCACAGTGCATAACAGACCTGAAAGCATTTGATTTGGAAGTACATTAATTAAAAAGTCAGATATGAAAAAAAAGCCACCCCCCCCCCCCCCCCCCCTCATTGTCTCCAGAGTTTTGCTTATTCTACCACACACACATTTTCACAGAGTATAATAAACCACCCACCGTGGTACATTTTATCTACCTAATTACATTGGAAAATACCTTTGTTTTTTTTACGTCTCTTGTTTTTTTAACAAAAAAAAATTGGTGAAAATTGAAAAAAAACCCGAAAAAATTTGATTTTGAAAAAAATTAATTAAAAAAGCAAATATTAAAAAAAAACCCCCCCCCCCCCCCCCCCCTCTTTATTTGCTTCAGTGTTGTGTTTACTTAGCCTCACAGTAATTTTCAAGGAGTTATAATAACTCCTCTAGTGGGGCTAATTTAACTCCTTAAAGTGAAGTTATTTTTTGTGGAGTTATTTTAACTCCAAAAAGGAGTTTAAAGAACTCTTTTTCAGGAGTAAAAACGACCTTAGATATTGAGGAGTTAAAATAACCCCAAAAAAGGAATTATCCTGTACCTAAAATTTTTACTGCACTTCAGAGTTAAATTAACTCCAAAAAGAGTAAAAACAACCCATGTAAGGATTAAAAATGACCCCGTTTCGGAGTTATTTTAACTCCAGACTGGGAGTAAAAAGAACTCTTTTTCAGGAGTAAAAATGACCCCAAATTCGGAGTTAATTTAGGAGTTAAAGTAACCCCCAAAGAGTGGTTATCCTGTACCTAAACTTTTTACTCAATTTTTGGAGTTATAATAACTCCCTAAAAATTACGGTGCTCTCAAGATAGTTTTTTTTTCATACCTTTATAATTATCTCAGCCAGCTGGTGGTTGCCTTCAACTGCCTTTGGAAACAAAATCTGCAGCGATGAGTGTAGAAAGAATTACCTTATTTAGTGATCAACTGACTTTAGAATCAGGGCAACCGAAAATATGAAAAAGGTTAAAAGAAGAAATCCACATTATAAGTGAGCTATTTTGTAGCACTTGAAGACGTAATTTCCTGATAGTGATAGACAAAAGTCATTCTTGATTGCAGTTTTGGACACCGAGACAACTTTGAAACAGGGATGTTTCAGGAGGATTTCACGCTTCATCATGGTGCATCAAGGCAATTTTCATAAGAACTAAGACCATGTCAGCCACCCTGACTGTCGCTTGGATTTCTTCACTGTAGTCCCAAGATCACATCCTCGACCACGCTTCTAAATAGTGACCTGGCGTGGTTTGTCTCCGGTCAGTTAGGATTATCGACCTTATAAGCTTATGCTTATTTAATTTATTCTTTTCGGTCATTTCCTCGGCCCCACTAGCCTTAACGCGATAAATACTTCAGTGATACTTCTGAGAGTAAGGGAGTTTTTGTTACATCATTATTGCTCTATCTTTCACACAAGTCATTATTCATGTTATTATTGTTCATTCAGTTAGATCCTTGTCAATGTTTTGTTATAATTCCAATGCAATGCCCTTTTTAAAGCATCGCAAACGCTGCAACGTTTCACAAGAAACCTCAGCTAACTCTGAGCTATTAAAGAACACATTTTGACTAATTATCGTCTTCAGGTTGGAGAACTAATTGAAAGGAAGTTTTTTTCAAGGAATTCTACCGTGGACAAGCCCCCTAATCCAGGAGAAAATGAGCTAGATCATTCTCTCTTGCCCTACTCAATATACAGCAGATTTTTAGGGCATGGCGGTAAACTCTGTAGTTGACCTTGATACTCAAAAAAAGTACCACATTCAAGCGAACAACGCATAGAAATCGAAAAGACACATCCCCGCGACAGGCTTCTGTCACTACCTGAAAACATGGAATGAAACTTTTTTTAGAAAACTGTAAAAAGCTTCCGGTACATATGTTTCCTTTGGCATTCGGCTGTAAGGCATCTCAATGCATTTTTCGGTGACGTATCCGAGACCAGACGAGCTCGCTTGGATCACGTGACCCGAAATGCATAGGCCACACGAAAGAACGATCTATTGACGGAATTTCGTTATCTCGGACTGCATGAATCACGTATCAAAGCAGTTTCTTTTCTCGATTCATTAGTCTCGCTTGCGTAAGCAGCTAGACTCATAATCTGCAACGCGTTTTTCGCCCCGGGGAGTAGTCCCTTATATAGGGTATATAGTTATATAGGTATGTGCCGCGCCAAAAGGTATGTTTTTTTAGCTGTTTTGGTCTGAAATTGGGTATCAATTTCGACCATTTTGGTCTGAAATAGGGAATGGTTTGTGCACTCTAGTCTTGAATTGGATATGTCTTTTAGAAGAATTAGCTACTTCTTCATCACTTGGCAATAAGACCATTTCCCTTTTAATGTTTACGCCAACTACAGCTTGTCACGCGCCGGGCTCCAGGGTTTCAGGTCTGAAACAGAGTATGAAATTTTTGATCAGGTCTGAAATACGGTAGGGAAAATCACAGATTTTGGTCTGCAATAGGGTAAGGGTTTCAAGAAGCGTGCCGCACACCCACTCCCAATTTTTCTGGAAGTACCCACCCCCCCAGGAATGTTTGGGACACAAAAAGCAGGTCATTGCGCCAGGCGTTTCTTGCGGAGACCGTAGAAACTGGAACTAAGAATCTTTGCGTCATCGAAGCCACGCATGTTTTGCGAAGAAAGCTTAGGAAAGATTAAATTTAGAGCTTTTCCGAAACGTGTCGGTCTACGAATTCTATCGCTTGAAAGCGTTGATTACTTTGGAGCAAGAGAACTCTACTGAGCGATTGAAAAAAAAAAAACAAGAATCTTAATTTGCAAAATTGCGATGGTCGGGTGTTGTAAACTTTCACTGTATGCAAATGAATCTTGTGATGAGCATCCGATTTATTTTCGGCGATTGAAATGTAAATCACTTTTTCGATATCTGGCAATGATGTAATTTCTCTGAAATCGAGGCCCTTGATTTTCGTGTATTTATACACGCGAATAGGCTGCTACCGCGGAGGTATTTTTGGTTGTCGCTAACACGCGTACTAAATCAGTTCAGAAACAAATAAAAAGTATCGACGTCGATAAGGTTAGCCTCCCACGCAGGCGTTTTTAGGGGAGCTCGTTTTTCATCCCTCCTCAAAACGAGCTCCCCTAAAAACGCCTGCGTGGGAGGCTACGATAAAGAAGGAAGTAAAAAACCTTTAGCGAGTAAATCATGTTTCTTGTAGAATTAATCGCCTCCTTATTTCTCGATCTAATCTCCAAGCAGGCGAGACCTGAATGCCGCTGTAAGCGTGTTCTTGTTACTTATAGCTCTCGGTCGTCCTTGAATTATTACTGAAGACAGAAAGCCTGTTTTAGAAAACTTTTTTCCTTTTCCAGAAGGGACGAGATAAGTCATAGTATCTGCTGACTTTGTTACGATTCCAAGAAAATGAAGACTCCCTAATTATACTTGGAGATTTAAGGTCTGTTTTCAAACATGGAACTTCCCTATATTACATACCTTGCCTGAATCAGACATCGTTGATCGGTTCACCAGGATTAAAACTTCTTTCCAGCGTCAGAGGAGAGTTCAACAAGGTGTGCCGTGGCAAAAACACTTTCGCAGTATTTAGAGGGTCTCAATGGGGTTAACCGATAGGCGTAAAACGGCCAAAAATTTAGTCGATAGCCGTAAAAATTGAAAAATTTTAACCGTTAGCCGTAAATAGAGTAAAAAAGAGTTAACCGTAAAAGAAACTGTTCCCTAGATTTGCTACTTTTAAGGGAGGAATTAAACTCATTTATGGTTGCGTCTTTTATTTCCTCGCTAGTGTGACTCCGTAGCACGTTAGGCGAAGCGCCTTTTAGGTGTTGACCAAGACCTAGGCTCCATTTCCCCCACTCTCTCGGGGAACTAATTTTTCCATAGCGAAAGTGTGGCTTCTTGCTAGGGATTAATATTTGTGATTTGCAGGAGGTCGTGCCTTCGAAACTCTAATGAGACAACAAGCAGAGATGTCACTGTTTGTAAAACACGTTGCCGATAAACAGCATTTCCCTGTTTTTCTCTGACGCTACGGTACACATTGCCAGGCCTGGTCCCTCTACGGCGTCTTCCCACGCAATCTCGGTCAAGGCATTTTGGTGGCGAACTCGCTCGGACCACGTGACCCGAAACGCATTAGCCGCGCGGAATAATGAGGCCTACGGACAAGGCAACGGCAGACAGTCGTTCTGTACAGTCCTTCGCTATCATTAAAAGCACTGGACATAGGAATTTTGTTATTGGCCGTTTTCTCCCTAGAGCTAGAAATGGATTATCCGTCTGAGACTAGTCTGTGTACAGTCACGCCCTCCCCAAAGACACCCCTTCTCCAATTTTTTTGGCCGTACACAGGCCATCTGGAACGGATAATCCCGTCTTCAAACTGTCCGTCGTAATTGACGGATAAAGTCACACGGATTGTTCATTCAAAATTAAAACTATTCCATTTTCAAATTAAGAAGTATTACCTATCTGACGCGAATCATCAAAACGGCCATTTCTGTTATAATTAATGTCGCGCCCCAGCCTTGAGTTGGGCGTTTGCGTGCCCGCTTTTGCTTTTTCACAAGATTATTTTTAAATTGACTATTGACATTTCTATGTGTAAAATAATATGAGAAGTGAAATACTTTAGAAAAATTATTTTTGATTTAAAGACACAAAAAATACAGGTTAATTAATATTTAACTTTTGAAACAAAAGAAGTTAATTTTTAACTTTTTTGTTAACCGTAACTGAAAAAAATTAGCCGATAGCCGTAAAAGAGCCCAAATTTTAGCCGATAACCGTAAAAGCACCACCCCATTGAGACCCTCTATTTAGCTAGTCTGATCTGAGCAACTAAATGACAGATGTCAAACTGGGGCGGGTTTACTTTCTCTTAAACTCGACTTTTCCTAGAAAACTCTTGCTACTATTTTAATTTTCTATTATTGCTGAAAGTATTTATTCAAAATTAAAGGCAATATTTCACTATTGTAGACAAAACTATCAGAAGAAAGGGAGACAAAACCAACGGTCATCCGATGGTTCTTTTGCTAGGAATAATTTTTAGGTCACAGTGCATTCGACAAAAACGTTTAATAAGTTACAATTTTAGGAAAATGAAGACTTCCTGTCGTATGATTCGCATAAAAAATGCATGAATATGTAAGTAAATATACCCTCTAATTTCTCGGCGGTTAACCATTTCTTTTCGATACACTCATACTAAGAAACTTTCTTTCAAATATATTTCAACAATATTTGGGGTTGGGCCTTAAATTAAGACAGCGTGCATTTTGTCCTTTGTCCTTAACAGGGTATTAAAATATTGAGGGTGTTTTCCTAAACAGGGTCAGGGTTTCAAACCCTCAGCGGCTCATCTATACCCAAACATTGGTCAGGCATTCCCCGAGTGTTGTATACACCGTAGACTCGTAATTATAAAGGCACTGTTTATTCAATCAAAAATATTTCTTCCTTTTTGTAATCGGCTCCAATACCCTGGCCAAGGCTCAGTTTATATGGAGAAAACTTAATTGTCCCGAGTAAAAGGTTCATCTTCCCAGCTGAGTCAACCTCAGAGAGCGCAAAAAATGGATTTGCACAAATTTGCTCATGGTAAATATGTCGAAAAAATGTAAAAACTGTGGAGTAAAGCTGTGGTAAAGATGGTAAATGCCTGTTTACAACCCTGTGTAAATTTCGTATGCGAATGTGGCATTTACCATCGTTGCTACTGATTTACTCCTTTGCAGTTTTTATATATTTGCCATGAGCAAATTTTCTCGGCTTTCGTACGATATGAGAAATTAGGGCCATTTATACGAGGAAAAATAAGACGCGTCTTACATAAGACGCGTCTTAAATAAGACGCGAACTGTACTATTTATACGAGCATGTCTTATCTAATAAGACGCGTCTTAGCTAAGCCTCGTCTTATGTAAGACGCATCTTATTTTTCCTCGTATAAATGGCCCTATTATGTAGATCTCCGAGGCAGTGATAACGTCCTTCTCGATCTACATATTCTTTACATCGTACTCAGCTTTACAGTCAACTCTTTCTAAGACGGACACTTAGTGCCAGTCCTAAAGGTGTCCGTCTTATATAGAGTCAAATAAAAGGAGTAAAGAAAGGCAGGGACCAACTCTAGGTGTCCGTCTTATAGAGGTGTCCGTTAAGAGAGAGTCGACTTTATTCAGGAATCGTTTATCATCTGCAACAGGATTTCATCAAGCATGGAGCAAGAGAACCACCCACCTCATAAAGAGGTCAGGTTAGCTTTGGGCTCAAAAAGGGATGTAGTGGTATAAATTTTTTGAGTGTGAAACATCTCAGCATTGCCGACTGAACTGGGATGCAAGTGACAGCCTGGTACTTCATACAATCAGTCCAACAATACGAATTATGGCCGAAAGAGAATACGGGTTGTCCGCCGAGAAAATTGCCTGCGATCAGAGATTGTTGTCACGTTAGAACATAGAAATGTCAAAAAAAGATAAGCAGATAAACAGAAAGAGAGCCGGAGTAACAGGTGTAATGAAAGTGGCCGTTTAGCAGGAGGCTTCAGTAAATACAAGTTCCTGGAGTTGGAAAGATTGATAGGCAGTTTCAAAATACGAAAAATGACATCAATGTGGTACTTTTATTGATTTACACATACCGGCGTAAAAAAGGCCTTTAAAATAAGGCTTAAATCTTCCCATGGGTCCACTTTTTGGATGGTCTTTCCCCTGGTGAAGTCCCAATACTCCTCTCCCTCCAAATGTTCACCAGTTCACGGAAGTATTAGCCGTTTTCGTCAGCACTGTGCGCACCGTGGAAACGAGTACGATTACTATTCCAGGCGTTCAGATAGTGGGGACAGCGCAAAGAAAAGTGAGCCGTGACCAACACCCCCCTCCCCCCGCCGCCCCCTATTACGTTTCAGCACCTTCTCGACTTGCACCAAGTTTCATCAAAAATATAATTATGACACTTTCTTTTCCTGGAGAGTTACGAGTTGTAATAAAGACAATGGATGACCATGAAGAACGCGCACGACCACATTACTTTAACTTCGTGGGAGCCGTTTATAGATACATATATTGCAAATGCAGTTGCCAAATTCAGCCATAAAACCACAAGAGACTTGCATGGGACAAATGTATCGATTTTAGCAATGCTCATTTTGACAACAACCATTAAGGCTGCAAAAGACATTATCACCTTTACATGATCGCTCCATACTTTGTAGCTTCCCAGTCTCATAAGGTCATTGTCATTATTCCATTCCACTGCTAATCTATACTCCAGTATCCGTTTGCAACTTTCAGAAACTGATTCTAATTTCGACCTCCACCGAGTGTTAAACCTCTGGTTGTTGTCGGGACATAATGTTTCTAAATTCTTAAGAAAGTAAGCTGAAATTTCATCAATGACATTGCAGAACTCTGTAGTTTTGAGCACTTTCCCGCTGCGATGAAGATAGCCCTTTCTTTCGTCAATTATTATATCAGGAAAAAATTCCTGAAACTCTTGTTGTAGAACGACTTTGAACAGCTTACATTGCTCCTCGTGATAATGCTTTTTCCGCATTAGTTTATTCTTGATTTGTCTTTGTTTCTCCTGTATTGAGTCTCTCACGTTGTCGTTCATTGGAGTGTTGCCACCGTCTCGAGTATTGTTTTCGTTGAGATCATTTTCATTTGGTTCGTCATGTCGAGAAGCCAGATTTCGATTTTTCATATTTATGTCTTCTCGAATACAAACTTGTTCCTTAACTTTGTCTATTTCTTGCCTTTTAATTGTGTTAATTTGTTGTAGGTTAATGGGTTCCAACAGTTTGTCAACTTTTGACGTCAGGCAGTCTTTGAACTCAATGGGCTCAAATCCACGTTTGTTGTAATTGAAGCTGTATCTCAGTTGGTTTTGGTCCATCGCTGAAAGAAAATTAAGAGACTTTAGTCTTTGTATCGCGCAAAGAGGGAGGGAAGGAGGAGGAGGAGCAAGAAGAAGAGGAGGAGGAGTAGAAGAAGATGACGACGAAGAAAGAGAAGGCGGAGGAGGAGGAAGAGGAGGAGACGACGAAGACGAGTCAAAGAACCTACACCAGCGTTCAAAAAGAGCAGAACTGAATTTCCCCTGTGGTGTAATCTACGTCTACCTCTGTTATCACTTCACTTAGTATCGCACATCTTATAAAGTAAGCTCAAATATTGACCAATAGCGGCAGCTTGTGGCACCATTATGGCTAACGTCCTAGCTTACTGTTTGATATTTGATAATTAACGAATGAGGCTGAGTATCTTTATAAAGAATTGTGGAGATCGAAGAGGGTGTGATAACATCGTCCGAGATCTCCACAATTCTTCATTTGATACGAAAGCCAAATTCAATAATTGTTTTATTATTCATTCAAAATAATTCCTAGTTTAAAAACATAGCTGAAGCATGCTTACCTCCATCGATGTTTAGTTCATCTTCGATAGTGCACATTCAGGGTTGTTCAGCTCAGCAAATATTCTCCAAAGGGCAGATGTAGCCCTTCGAGTTGTCTTTTTGCTGTTCTTGCCATGTTATTAGCTATTATTTTTGCCTAGTTCTTACTCTTGAAACGAGTGAAATGTCCGCCATTTTTGTTTTTTACAACCAAAACAACTCAATCTGGTTCCCAGGTCTTCTCGGTTAACGGTGCATTAACCTGCAAGGAAGCTGCCTTTTTCACGTCATCGGTTGATTAATCGCAAAATTCTTCCAAATTTAATCATCAGTAGCTGGTTATGGTGAATTATGCGTGTGCTTTTAGCCAATCAGAATCGGGGAAATATTTTGAATGAATAATAAATACACTGTAAAAGAGTATACGTGCCGTTGTCCTCTCATCCGCGACCGATTACATTACCTTCTCTGTCGATTTTGATAACTTGTAGTGATACTCACGGCAAGAATGCATACGTTGATTCAAATCCAATGTATTCGCTTGTTTACCTAGGGTCAGTAACAAGCTTGAACAGCTTGAAACTGGCTCCAAAACCCTCAACATTTGGTCGAGCAGAAACTTATTAGCATTTCGGAAGCCACTGGAATGTTTTAGTGCGGTAGCTTAAGGCGAAAGTTATACACAGCCGCGTCACGCAATTAACGTTTGGTTCATAAGTTCGAGCCTTTCTTTTCATGTTTTTCATGCTTTTTCATATCTTTAAAAAGTCTTCACCTGGGTGATTTTCATAGAGTATTAAACTCACATGACGGTCGAGATCGTCTCAGAGATACATGTACGCGCGTTCACCTGACCGAAGCCAGCGACCATTCTATCCACATGTTTCATTACATCGCCTCTCCTGCTTAAACAAAGTTAATCGCAAGTTGTTGGCTTTACATTCAAAACTGATATTTTTGACAAAAAAAAAAAAACTACAATAAAGGGGGAAGACACCCTTCTCCCGGACACCGTTGGTCTGATTTGCTTAAGCCGGGATCACCAACCATATCGAGTCGCAAAATAAGACGTACAGCCTATAACTTATAACTCATCTCAACCTGTACGTTTCTTTTTTCACTTTACGTGATGAAATTTCAGATCTCCAATTACACCATTCTTAAATATAATATAAGGTTTTTTTGGAAGAAGCCTGTCACACTTGCATGTCCTCTCAGAATAACTCACAAGAATCTTCGTCATCGGAAGCCGACATTCCTGAATGCCTTTGTCGTATGTAAGTAGGAAATTTTAGAATAATGATTAAAAAAATACACCTTTTGTTAAAACGTACCTTGAATGGCCTTCAGCGTTAAAAGAAAAAAAGAATGGGCGTTAAGTGAGATCGACTTGTTGTTCTAGGCTTAGACTTTGACCACGAAGACCGGATGAAGCGAGTCCTGTGTTCCGATTGGCTACCCAGAGCGGCAAGATGGATCCATCTTGCTCGCGCGGGATTTCCCGCGTTGGTCCCGCAAAAAAGCAAAGTTCTCTTTTTGGTCATATAGTAATTCTTTGTTGACCAAGATTTTTCGGTCAAGATGGCTGGATATTGGCCTCGTCCTTTTTTTGCGTTTTTATTGACCTCAACTTTGTCTCAGTCCATAAAAACGCAAAAATGTACTTGGCCAATATCCAGCCATCTTGACCCCATCCATATCTATTGTTCAACTTCCACACCTACAGTCCCTACTTCAACACAGGCACTGCTAAAGATAAACGCGCGGGACGACGCGAATGCTATTTGAAGTCAACATGGAAAAGGAGAAAAACTCCTTCGCTAACTTTCGTTCACCCGGCGGTCTTTGAGCATGACTAGATGCTGGCGAGAGATGTCTATGAAACAGAATAGTCGCTTAATCAGAGCGATTATCCTTAAAAGCGCGTGAGGCCGCCCAGTAGCGTGTAAAAGAGCGCCGAAGGCGCGAGGTTTTCTAGATGCGCCCGGGCTGCCCCGCATAATTTTGAGGTTAAGAGCTTCTGAAATCACCGAAAACGGGTTTATTTCTACAAGATCCTGAGAAAATTTTGTTCAAGTTTTTATCACCATTCTGTTAGTTTTCTGCACAAAAACGTACATTTAACAAAGAAAATGTTGCAGAAAAAAACGCCAAAAAAAAAAAAAAAACAAAGAAAGAAATCCGGCAAAAGTATTGGTGGACCTATAGCCCTCCCACCCCCCCCCCCAGCCCCACAACTCCGGGGTTCCTGCATGTCCCCCCAAGAAATGACCTCAAATCCTGTTTTCGACTTTAATGGAGAGAGAGGGAGGGCGGTAAAATGAGCGCACTGTCCGCAGTCGGTCTCAGGTTTGTTAACAGGTTTGTTGACCCAAAACCATTACTTTAATACCGTAATTTCTGTGACAAGCTGAAATGATCTGAAATGGTTCTTATACATTGGATGAGTACTGAGAAACGAGGATAAATGTCTTCTAACTTAGTACGTGAAGCAATTCTGTTCTTAAAATTTGTTTTGATGTTAGTGACTTATTCACTCCCTCTTTTCCCCTCATCGTTTAATTTTGCTGCCCCACACATCATTTTTAAGGTGGCTCGACTGGATTTTTTAGGGGGATACCTCCCAAGTTTGAGCATTGACTACGTTGGCATGAGTAAAGATATGAAAACTGTGCTATATAAGGATGAAATTTCTTATGACCTGGTTTTTTTTTGCAATCGGAGTCGCCATGGCAACGTAATGACGCCATTACGTTTTTCATTTATCTTTGTGTTTCTCTGTACCAGGAGTTTTTTGAAGAAATGGCTTAAGGGAGTATGCCCCCGCCATAATTACCTCCATTATGGCAAAGTTTGAAGAAATTCTATGAGAGCGTTTTCGAAATATTTTGAAATGCAGTTTTAAGAATCATGAAAACAGTGAAATAGCATGCTAGCCGCACAATTCGCTAATATTTTAAGAAAATGATAAGGTTTGGGAACGCGGCTTCAGCTCATAGTGGTTTGATTCCATTGAAAACTGCATTCAAAAAAAGAGGGGAATTGCTCTGGGCGATCGCGAGTAAGAAGAATTTTATTAACTTGCATTCAGCTGCTTTTGATACAGTTTTAAGAACATTGAAAACAGGGAAGGCTTTTAAATAGGGCCTCAAATATAACCAATTTTCCCCCCAGATTTTGTGTTTACAAGTGAGCGTCCTCATTATTCCCTGGCATCGGCCAATGTAGGAAACATTTGTAAATAAAGGATTTGAGGTAATGGCGAACAAGTCGAGAAAGAAAACATGATTGCCGTAGAGAGATGATTGCTATCCCTTTTACCCGCATTCCCGACCTGGGTAACCTTGAAAGACCAGGATTCGGAAGAGCGGCCGAAATCGAGCCTAGAAAAGAACGCACACAAACACACACACATATTCTGTGAATAACAAAAAAATTTTTCCCAGAAAGAAAACCAGACTCAGACTGGACCTAATTAGTTCCCGCGAGTAAAGTACAGAAAACCTCCTGCAAAAATAAACGCCCTTACGGTACTACATTTATCAGGACAGTAGAATCAATGCAGCAGAACTTTATTGCCTTTATTTCAAGTTGGCTTGCTTAATAGCTAACTGTAGCAGAAAAACGTGCAGGCGCCAAGCGGTAATGACAATTTTCTTTTGTTTTAATGCATTACTAAGGTTTTCACACCCTTTTTATCTATGGGCAATGGCTAAATATCATGTTTTTGCATCGTTGAATCATCGTTGATGACAGATTATGGGCCATGGGAACAGCAAACTAAAAAAATGCATTCAAACCGCGTCTCAATCAGCGTTTGGCTTTTAAAGCGTAATACGAATCTATAAACTGCAGGTTTTATTGCCGAGGCTTAAGCGTCCGAGTCATTATCTCCCAAGGAAACCGGGGCCATCCCACAGGTGTAAGTACAGGTTCCTGTTGCCATCTGATTGCCTGGCTCCTTCATAGTTTCCACTAATGAGAAGGCAGCAGGCAATGTGCGCAGTTCAGCTCCGCATGACAGCATGGCTGAAAAGCAAAAACGAAGATAAGATAAAACTTAACGTCCCCCTTAATCTGTTGCAGCAGTCTTCTTAGTTAGACACGATTAAACAGACGTTTTATGCCCTTCCGAAAACTGACTGGGTATGTGGTACTATGTACTTCGTTCCCGCCTAATTCGGTTATTTCTTAAGACCCATTTAAATGCCCCAGACCATTCACAATCAAGCCAAGGTAGTAATGTAGCAGCTCCCCGGACTTCTCAGTGTGGTCGGAAGAGACTCATGACAAAATTTTCCTCATGGCAGATACCCGTGGTTATTTTGAGGCCCTTGTGTTTTTTAACACAATTAAAATTTGTCACAGTGCATAACAGACCTGACAGCATTTGATTTGGAAATACATTAATTAAAAAGTCAGATATGAAAAAAGAGCCACCCCCTCTCTTTATTTGCTCCAGTAGTGTGTTTACTTAGCCTCTCAAGATAGTTTTTTTTCGTACCTTTATAATTATCTCTCGGAAGTTTCTCAGCCAGCTGGTGGTTGCCTTCAACTGCCTTTGGAAGCAAAATCTGCGGTGATACAGTGTAGAAAGAATTACCTTATTTAGTGAACAACTGACTGTAGAATCAGGGCAACCGAAAATATAAAAAAGGCTAAACGAAGGCTAAACTATACTAGTTTGTAATGCCCCTAGGTTTTGCCACATCTCATCCCTTCTTCGTGGTCTGCATTGGCTTCCTGTTAAAGCCCGGATAGAATTTAAGATACTGCTTATTACGTTCAAAGCAATTCACGGCCTTGCTCCTAAATATCTATGCGATTTACTAACATTTAAATCGTCCTTATATAACCTTAGATCTTCAGATAGTATTTTACTTTCTATGCTAGCTGCTCGATCGAAGACGTTAGGTGACAGAGCTTTTATGGTAGCAGCGCCAAGGCTCTGGAACTCTCTTCCAAAAGAACTTCGTGCGATTACTAATGTGAACAGTTTTAAGGCGCATATTAAGACTTATCTTTTTAAAACTTTATATTGGTGAGCAATTTTATATTCACTTCTTACTTGCATGCATATATATTCTTTTTATTTTTTATTTATTTTATGTTATTTTATTTTATTTTTTATTTTTTTTTAATGCATTATCTTTTATTTGTTTCTTTTAAGTAAAGTAGTTGTAATGCGCAGCTGATCATTCTCATGTTAAGCTGCGCACAATAAGTTCATAAATTATTATTATTATTATTATTATTATTATTATATCATTTGATTGTAAATGGGATTTTAATGGAGGTTTTGTAATAAAGATTCTTTTCTCTTATTATTATTATTATTATTATTATTATTATAAGAGAGCTATTTTGTAGCACTTAAATACGTAATTTCCTGATAGTAGTAGACAAAAGTCACTCTTGATTGCAGTTTTGAACACCGAGACAAATTTGAAACAGCGATGTTTCAGGAGAATTTCACGCTTCATCATGGTGCATTAAGGCAATTTTCATAAGAAGTAAGACCACGTCAGCCACCCTGACTGCCACTTGGATTTCTTCACTGTAGTCCCAAGATCACATCCTCGACCACGCTTCTAAATAGCCAACTGGTCTGTCTCCGTTCAGTTGGGATTATCGACCTTATAAGCTTATACTAATTTGATTTATTCTTTTCATTTATTTCCTTGGCCCCACCAGCCTTAACGCGATAAATAGTTTAGTGATACTTCTGAGAGTAAGGGATCGGGGAGTTGTTGTTACATTATTATTGCTCTATCTTTGACACAAGTCATTATCCATGTTATCATTATCCATGTTATCATTGCTCATTCAGTTAGATCCTTGTCAATGTTTTGTTATAATTCCAATGCAATGCCCTTTTCAAAACATCGCAAACGCTACAACGTTTCACAAGAAACCTCACCGAACTCTGAGCTATTAAAGAACCTGTCTTGACTAATTATCGTCTTAAGGTTGGAGAACTAATTGAAAGGAAGTTTTTTTCAAGGAATTCTGCTCTGGAAAAGCCCCCTAATCAATATACAGCAAGAGAATTTTAGGGCATGGCGGCAAACTCTGTAGGTAACCTTGATACTAAAAAAAGTGCCATATTCAAGCGAACTTGTCCTTTAAAAAACGCATAGAAATCGAAAGGACCCACCCCACGACAGGCTACTGTCACTACCTGAAAACATGGAATGAAACTTTTTTTAGAAAACTGTAAAAAGCTTCCGGTACATATGTTTCCTTTGGCATTCGGCTGTAAGGCATCTCAACGCATTTTTCGCTGACGTATCCGAGACCAGACGAGCTTGCGTGGATCACGTGACCCGAAATGAATATGCCACGCGAAAGACTGATCTATTGACTGAATTTCGTTATCTCGGACTGCATGAATCACGTATCAAAGCAGTTTCTTTTCTCGATTTATAAGTCTCGCCTGCGTAAGCAGCGAGACTCATAATCTGCAACGCGTTTTTCGCCTCGGGGGTAGTCCATTATATGGGCTATATAGGTATATGCCGCGCCAAAGGTACCTGAAGAAGGCTGGTATGGCCAGCCGAAATATTGTTATAAAAAACAATACACGTTGTTTTAAATCAGCTTTGCAGTAGTCTTTGGACTTCTCGTTCTTGGTTCTTTATATTTTGCCCAAGAGACTATAAAGGGGACAGAGAGGGCATCCCCCATATACACCCTATTCCATAGGTAATTCGTCTCGAGTTATTTTTAACACCACAGATCTCAAGGGGGATTAGACAACAGCCAATCACATAGCGCGAATGTGTTCCGCGTGGATGACCAACGCTGAGAGCCACGCGTCCTTCACGAAATGACGCAGAACAAAATGGGGGAAGACGCGGAGAGCGATTTTGCTATTCCTTTTGTCGACGAAAACGACTACAGCGAGATTTCAGCGAAAGCTGTGTCAGCGAAACCGAAATTAAAAAAGAATCGCCCTTCCTCTCTTGTATAGAGCTAACAGTAGAGCAGGGAAATCCTTAACACACTGAATATTCTCTCAGGATCATTTATAATTTACAGTTTGAAGAGAGCAATTTCTGGTTTGATGTTTATTTTTTTCAGTCTTTATAGCGATTATTCCTACCCACTTACTTTGTCAATTGTAGGCGAACCCTCCTAAAGCTGAATTTCAAGGGACCATATTCAAGCTCAGAAAGAGAAATAAAATTTCGTCGTTGCTTATTTACGTCCTCCATAAAACGCGAAATTAGGCATTTTCACGTCGTAGTCGTGCAAAAACGGGAAAGAAATGAACAAAAAAGTGTGTTGCACGTGCGAAGTTGTTGTTTTGCTAATTAAACCTATTGTTTTTTTGACGTTCTAGTTGTCGTCCGCGTCGTTGGATCTTAAAATCCCTAAATTGTACAAACGACCGGTTTCAATAGACCGGAGAAATTTCTCATTTTATTAAAACACTGAGGTTACGACAACTTCGAGTTAAACTGATTTCACGGGTTGTCAAAGAGTCCAGCGATTCCTTTTTCCCAGGTGAGCGCCGACTCATTTCGCTTCAATATTCAGGAATGCTCTCGATCTTTTTATGCTGTCATTGCCTCTTGCCCGACATGTTTTGCACGGCGTTTGGTCATGCGAAACCTCCACGAAACATCCACACCTCGCGCGAGGTAACTTTATCCCGATTCTAAAAATAACTCGAGACGAATTACCTATGGAATAGGGTGTGTATGGGCGATGTCCTCTCTGTCCCCTTTATAGTCTCTTGATTTTGCCTGATTAGATCTCTTTTCTAGAGATCCAACGTTTACAACTAGCAGGATCTTCGTCCACGGTTTTTGCAGTTAATTTAATGTTTTTTTTTAGCTGTTTAAGCTCACTGCGTACGTAAGCACATACTCCACCTCCTCCTTTATGTAGGCGATCCAAACGAAATAGTTTGTAGCCGTCAAGTTGGATCTCAGTGGATGTGATGGTGGTGTTCAGCCAAGATTCAGAGATTGTTATGATATCAGACTGTTCGCGACTATTTAATTCTCTAAGCTGAGATCGATGGGAGATATTTCGAAGTGAACGGATGTTTAAGTGAAGGACTTTGAGACCAGATCCTGACCTTTCTGTGACCGGAATAAAGGATCGTTCGTTGTGGTCACAAATGTTGACGTTCGAGCAACGGTTCAGTGATCGTAGATTATGCAAATTCGCTCTTCGGTTAAGATTATGTTGTAAGATAAATCTTTCCTTATAATAATTGGTATTTTGGTAGCTTCCTTATTTACTCTCGTACCACCAGACTTCCCCCTGTACTTTAAGATGTTTAAATATTTCAGTTTGCGGATGAGCTGTGGATTTAAGCGCTTGGTAGAAAAACAGCTTGGTCTGAAACTCATGAGTTGGTCGCGAGAATAATAGAGTTTTGGACAGTTATCCGTAGAGGGAATGTGAATAAAATTCGCTGTCTGACGGCCAGAATTTGGTAATGTAGCAGGTCCTGGATTGGCTTGAACATCCATATGAATTGTTAAGTCGAAATAGACTTCTTTTCCAGGCACATGGAGGATGGTAGTTCCATGTTTAGATATCTTGACCGCAGCGTAACTGAACCGTGTAATATTAAAAAAACCTTTATCGAGTAAATCATGTTGGCTTGTAGAATTAATCGCCTCCTCATTTCTCGATCTAATCTCCAAGCAGGCGAGAGGTGAATGCCGCTGTCACAGCGTTTTGGGCATCCCCGCGTTTTGGGCATCCCCATTCCCAAATCCCTAGCGTTTTGGGCATCCCCGGTGGGGGATGCCCAAAACGCTGATCGCTTCGACGTTGCCTAAATTATTTCAGACTGGGGAAAAGTCGGGATTATCACGAATTTACGGCTGAATAGTGTAGATGCATGTTAGAATTATATCGTCTGACACTTTTCGCCGGGTTTATTGCGCAGAAAAAAAACCCATAGGCAGTAAACGTTGGCTCAAAACGGGACGTAACTGAAATTTACAACCGCATAACATCCCTTCGCTGTACAACGCTTCATTGTTTGCAAAGCTTCAATTTTATTTAATAAAACTGTTTACCAGCGAGAAATGCCGCAATCGCCGGCAGCTGCGATCGTCTGATTCCAAACAGCCAAAAACAAGAATACTAAACAAAGCAATCAAAAGACAAACATGAATAAAACTGCGTTTTGCGGTGTTGAATTCATAGTATGCATGACATTTGAGGCCTGAACAACTTAACCCCGCAGCGCTACTTGACACACAAAAGGCTGTCACACAATTTATACAGAGGCCTCTTGCACCTACGGGACAGAAGAAATCTGTTGCCTTTTTGAGATGTAGTAGGGGCTTCTATTAAATCAATTCCGACCGAGTACCACACCTTGGGAACAACCTTCACAGGGTGCAAAAGTATTATCGCGGCTGGCGTGTCCAGAAAAGGAGCAGAGTGGCACTCTTCGAAGACCCTCGCTTTCTCTTCCTCGGTGAACAATTCGTCGAAGCGCTGTGCCATCCTTCTCCTTGGCCACCTAGAACAAGGACTCTAATTTTGAGTCATGCTCGAACTTTTTGGCAAATTTCGCAGAGTCGTTTTTTTGCTTTGTAAAGCCTTCCGGATAAGCCTTCTTTTTAAGATACTGGAAAAGATTTCTATATTTAGCGGAAGCCATCTCTAAAACGTTTTCGATTTTCCCGCGAAATCCAGCATTTTTTTGGAGGGGATGACCAAAACACTAGCGATTTGGGCATCCCGGGAGGGTACCGGNGTTGGCTCAAAACGGGACGTAACTGAAATTTACAACCGCATAACATCCCTTCGCTGTACAACGCTTCATTGTTTGCAAAGCTTCAATTTTATTTAATAAAACTGTTTACCAGCGAGAAATGCCGCAATCGCCGGCAGCTGCGATCGTCTGATTCCAAACAGCCAAAAACAAGAATACTAAACAAAGCAATCAAAAGACAAACATGAATAAAACTGCGTTTTGCGGTGTTGAATTCATAGTATGCATGACATTTGAGGCCTGAACAACTTAACCCCGCAGCGCTACTTGACACACAAAAGGCTGTCACACAATTTATACAGAGGCCTCTTGCACCTACGGGACAGAAGAAATCTGTTGCCTTTTTGAGATGTAGTAGGGGCTTCTATTAAATCAATTCCGACCGAGTACCACACCTTGGGAACAACCTTCACAGGGTGCAAAAGTATTATCGCGGCTGGCGTGTCCAGAAAAGGAGCAGAGTGGCACTCTTCGAAGACCCTCGCTTTCTCTTCCTCGGTGAACAATTCGTCGAAGCGCTGTGCCATCCTTCTCCTTGGCCACCTAGAACAAGGACTCTAATTTTGAGTCATGCTCGAACTTTTTGGCAAATTTCGCAGAGTCGTTTTTTTGCTTTGTAAAGCCTTCCGGATAAGCCTTCTTTTTAAGATACTGGAAAAGATTTCTATATTTAGCGGAAGCCATCTCTAAAACGTTTTCGATTTTCCCGCGAAATCCAGCATTTTTTTGGAGGGGATGACCAAAACACTAGCGATTTGGGCATCCCGGGAGGGTACCGGTGGATGCCCAAATCGCTGCAGTAATATGAGAAGGGGATGCCGAAAACGCTAGGGATTTGGGAATGGGGATGCCCAAAACGCGGGGATGCCCAAAACGCTGTGACACCGCTGTAAGCGCGTTCTTGTTACTTATATAGCTCTCGGTCGTCCTTGAATTATGACTGAAGACAGAAAACCTGTTTTTAAAAAACTTTTTTCCTTTTCCAGAAGGGACGAGATAAGTTATTATATCTTCTGACTTTGTTACGATTCCAAGAAAATGAAGACTCCCTAATTATACTTGGAGATTTAAGGTCTGTTTTCAAACATGGAATTTCCCTTGTGCCAAATCTACTCCAAATAGAGAGAGAAAAAATAGTCAAAACTTCCTTGTTAAATTCGGCTCCTCTGAAGTCTGACTTTTAAAATGACCCCAAGAATACTTAATCTCCGTAGTCAAACTCAAATGAAAATGATTTCGGCCTTTCCTGACCGAAGATTCTGTGACGCGTAAAACAACTCTTCGTTTACAGACATTTCAACCAACACTCGCTGTAGTGGCACATGGAGTTCTTTATCGGACAAGGAATTGTTACTAACAGAATATTTGGACGGGCAAACTGGTGATTGTTTTCTACTGCCACTGAAAGTATCACCTGTGTGGCATAGAACGGTGTCTGAATTAACTAAGAAAGCACGGCAACCAAAACCAGTTGAAGCCACTAACAGAAAACTTCACGGACTAAATATTACATACCTTGCCAAAATCAGACATGTTTGATCGGTTCACCAGGATTAAAACTTCTTTCCAGCGTCAGAGGAGAGTTCAACAAGGTGTGCCGTGGCAAAAACACTTTCCAAGTATTTAGCTTGTCTGATCTGAGCAACTGAATGACAGATGTCAAACTGGGGCGGGTTTACTTTCTCTTAAACTCGACTTTTCCTAGAAAACTCTTGTTCCGTTTTAAATTTTTTATTATTGCTGAAAGTACTTCAGTATTCAAAATTAAAGGCAATATTTTACTATTGTAGATAAAACTATCAGAAGAGAGGGAGACAAAACCAACAGTCATCCGATGGTTCTTTTGCTAGGAATAATTTTTAGGTCATAGTGCATTCGACAAAAAACGTTTAATAAGTAACAATTCTAGGAAAATGAAGACTTCCTGTCGTCTGATTCGCATAAAAAATGCATGGATATGTAATTAAATACCCTCTAATTTCTCGGCAGTTAACCATTTCTTTCCGATACCACTCATACTAAGAAACTTTCTTTCAAATATAGAAGAAGAAGGGATTCTTAGAGAAAAGTTGTGTTTTTTAATGTTTCGTTTAGCCTGTGTTCTGACATGTAGAGATGCATTTGCAGATCATTTAAATATTACTTAGGGCGACTTCGACCACAACTGTGGTTGGCTGACCTTGTTTCCTAATCAGTCTAATCAAGCGAAAGTATCACAGAGAGGAAAGAGATAGAAGGAAGAGTCCCCGCTGCCAGTGGGAAATATCTCATTCAACATTTCTTAGAGAACTTTCATGAACATATACATAAGGTCCGCAAGCTTTAATTCATTGTGAAAGAAAGCTTCATGGGTCATTCATTGTAAACCTACATAACACAGATATACTCATTACAGCTGAAATATAAATGTAGCACATGTCCATGTAGTAAAGCCAGGTTGTTTTTTCCCACTTAATTAAGAGAAGAAGAAACTTAAGTCAAATCGAAGTGTATTTGATTGAGTTTGGTTGCATCTGGTTGGGCACCAGACTTTACAGTACTGGGCCCAGATTCAACTAAAGGTTCCTAATGTATAACTGAGGAGAATGTGCTAGCGTGCAAAGAAAGCAGTGTCCGATATCAACCCTCTCAGCTTTTAGCAAGTATTGTTATTGTGGAAGGTAGCTAGTCTTATCTGTTGGCAGGGAGGACTTCCTCAAATGCAAAGTGCTATAAGATGCCAAACGGGTAGTCTCCACGGCTGTTTTGAAGTTCATTAGAACACCATTCTGTTAAAAAGTCATTGACAAGAATAGTGACTTGGCATGTAATGTAGACTTTATTTTGTTTTGTTATGCCCATATTAATTGAGGTCTCAATTATATCTTCTTCTGGTCACTCATTTTTCCTTTACGTATTGTGTGAACGCTTGCTGCTTTGCAGTTTACAGCTTTAAGCAAAACGCGGAAGGCCTACGACTGAAACGAACTCAAGACAACGAGTTTAAAAAAGTTGAGTTCTCTCTTACTCTCTTACTCTTCTTTTAAGAAGGAAACAGATCAGTGTCTGCCAGAGAACTCACCAGGTGAAGACGCTATATCATGGCCACTTCATGAACTGCGAGCTTTCTTCATCGGAGTAACGCCAAAGCTGGTCAAGGATCACCACCACCAGCACCACCTCAACAAAACCAACATCATCACCACCACCACCACCACCACCACCACCCATCATTATCATCACCACCACCCCTCACCACCATCCATCATCATCACCGCCACCACTACCGCCCATCATCACCATCATCACCACCACCACCAACAACACCACCACCCCCCCCCACCATCATCATCACCACCCCCACCACCCAGCAACACCACCATCACCACCACGACCACCACCACCCCACCTCAAAACCAACAACCACAACCAAACGCACCACCCACAACCGCCACACACCCACACCACCGCCCATCATCACCACCACCATCCCCACCACCACCACCACCACCCCCCCCACCCCTCCTCATCCTCACCCCCTCCCCCCCCCATCGTCATCATCATCACCACCACCACCACCACCACCCATCCTCCTCACCACCACCCACCATCACCACCACCCCCCCCACCCCCCATCATCACCACCACCACCACCACCCATCATCATCATCATCATCATCACCACCACCACCACCACCCATTATCATCATCACCACCACCACTCATCATCGTTATCACCACCACCACCTCCACCATCTCAAAATCATCACCACCACCAAAAACTACCACAATCACCAACACCATAGTAATAGTAATCTAGTTTTACAACCTGTAAATGTTAATGTAGTTGTTTGACGTTTCTGAACCTAAAGGAGAGTTAGGTAGTGAGCTTAGTAGTAATAGTTTTGGTCCCACCGGCACAACAAGACTCACAAAAAACACTGATGAATTGCGGAACTTGGATTCTAAGCTGTCTCATCTATCAGAGAGTCAACGCTAGGACCTGGAGAAACTTCTGCTGGAGTTTGAGCACCTGTTTCCTGATGTTCCCACAAGTTTCATAAGTTGGGTTTGTTGAAGAGTTTCTTAGTATATCTTTCTGTCGGTCGAGCGATACCGTAACAACACTAATTCACTTTCTTCGATGCACATGGTATGAAAGAATCTTTCTTTGGTAACGAGCTTTCAAGTTTTTGTGGAAAAACTGAAAGATGACAATTGAAACCTAGTTTTCACTTTCTCAGTCGTTTTGTAAGTATTCTTTAAGTGACGATAACATGAACAAGATTCCATTGTTTTGGGCACTTTTACAAACTGCGGCCGCTTTTTCATACAGCGACAATGCTTCTTTTTCCCTTGTTTCCACTTCTTCTGCTACGTCAGCCACTTTGCTTTTGTCAAATGCAATTTTGCTCTTGCAAATCAAGCGGAATGCGTCTGTGTAGGTATCCTCAGAGTCTGTTTTCAAGTCTGGTTCCTCCAGCCTTTGAATACAGCGTTCTGCTTCTTCAAGATCCAAAATACCGCTGGGACAACGATCAAATCCGTTCTTTGAAAACCCAAGGTGTAGACGTGCTTTGTCGGCAAAAACAAATCTAAGATAAAAGGAACTTCTAGGAATGCTATCCTGGTTTCTCTGGCACAATTCAATGATTGTGTTCCAAACAGGCGTCAATCCCTTTTTCTTGCTTTCCAGTAAGCCGTCCTCGTACAGTAAACAGTCAGCAATACGTTTCAGGCAAACAATCTGCTCTTCTGGGCTCTCCATGTTGGACACCATCATATTTGCTTGCTCAGCCAAGGCCTTTGACTCGGGATATTTTTCTTCGTACACCAACTTTAAAGATTGTCTTGCCAGGGCCCTTGCTATAATTCGCTGACAATTTTCTCCCGCTCTCGAAGCATTCGCAAGGGCATCATTCAACAAAAGCATGGCTTTTTCACTCTCGCCCTGAATGTTGTAGCCATAGGCGAGTTCAATCTGCACAAAGAGCTTAGTCGCCGGGTCTTGAAAGCAATAAAGAAAAAATGCAGACCGTCGATTTAACTTTTCCCAATCTCGCTTGTAAATATCCTTTGTGAAAGTCTGCATGACAAGTTTGTAATATTTTGGATACTTCACAGTTGCTCGACGAATTGTTTCAGGAGCATAGTTACAAATTTCTTCCGTTTGCTTACTTGTGGCAAGGCAGTCTATAAAAGAACTTGCTACTTTCGGGTCTGTCTCGCTCAGCAAATTCAGAAATGCTGCAACAACTTCCGTTCCTTTGTAAACAACAGAATCCATGAGCATAGCAAGTTTAATCTCGTTCCTCTTCTGTTTTTTTATGTTCTTAACTTCTCTTTCTGACAGAATGCCTAGATCTTTCATCTTTCCAAGATAGGGCCTTGGGTTGAAATCCTTCTTCAAGGTGGACAGCTTCTTAGAAAAATACTGTTCATATTCCGTTACAGCCATCTGCTCTCTCGCCAGTTCCGCTTTCAATCTCACCACTTCGTTCGTATCAAAACTATTCTCTTTCGCAATTGCTTTTAAGTTGCTTGTTGAAAGACCAAGGTTTCTGAAACAAGTAATAGCTTCAGAGCAAAAGCTTTCAAAGTCGCTATCTTCAACTTCATCTTTTGGGGCAATATGACAAACCTCGTTTCGCAGCTCACGAAGGCGGTCTATTTCGCCATACTTCGAAGGATTTCTCTTCTTTAGGTTAGCTCCAACCGAATCAGAGTACAGAATACAGTAAAACAGAATGGAGTTGTCAAACTGTGACGAATGGCCTTTAACGATAGTTTTCAGCGCCTCCCTGTTACGTTTTCGATTAACAAATGACTCGTTTGAGGAAAACCGCCTTCCATCTTCCCGTCTGTCGCGCCATTTTGAACCACAAAACCTACGCCACTCTTCCTTGAACAGTTCTCTCAAAGCGCCCGAAAAAATGGTCATAACAATGTGTATCATCCGAAAGTAGTTAAGCTGTTCCTTTGAATACGGCATGACAAAGTCTTTGGCAAGTTGCAAAGGGTGTTTCGAGGACTGCCTTATGACAACTGCGCAGCTAAATACACAACATTTCAGGCTGGGCTTTGTATATTATTTATCAAACAGAAAGCAAAAGGCTAGTTTCGAATTGTGCAAGAACAAAAGAACAGAGTCGAGGTTGAGGGGAATAATTTGCATTTTCCTTTGTTTTTATTGTATTCCAAGGGGTATTCCCCGAATTCTCAGGTTTTTTTTATCTCATCGCATAACCAAACCGTGACAGCCCCAAACACGTATCAACAAAGTGGCCGTCCTTGTAAATTGTAAACAGCAATTACCTGATAGTTGACTTGATGTATCAACTTGGGGTTGACAAGTGCAGGCCTATTTTTGCCACATGTTTTGATAACGCCACACATTATCATAAAAACAATGTTTGTTGTCTTAAAATTGAGGCACACGCACTACGTCCTTCGCCTTATTTTTCCGAGAAAACTAAAGACAACGAAATGAATAAAACTGAACTTTTCTTTGGTAACGAGCTTACGAGCTTTCAATGGAAAAACTGAAAGACATAAGAAATGGAATCTAGTTTCCACTTTCTTTGTCATTTTCTAAGTATTCTTTCAGGGAAGATAACTTGAACAAGATTCCGTTGTTTTTGGCACTTTTACAAGTTGCAGCGGCTTTTTCATACAGTGATAACGCTTCCTTTTCCCTTTTTTCCACCTCTCCTGCAACGTCAGCCACTTTGCTTTTGTCAAATGCAATTTTGCTTTTGCAAATCAAGCGGAATGCGTCTGCGTAGGTGTCCTCAGGGTCTGTTTTTAAGTCTGGTTCCTCTAACCTTTGAACACAGCGTTCTGCTTCGTCAAGATCTGAAACACTGCTGGGATAGGGATCGAAACCGTTCTTTGAAAACCCAAGATAAAAAAGTGCTTTGTAGGCAAAAACAAATTTAAGATAAAAAGGACTTCTAGGAACGCTATCCATGTTTCTCTGACACAGTTCAATAACCGAGTTCCAAATAGGCGTAAATCTCTCTTTCCTGCTTTCCAGTGAGCCGTCCTCGTTCAGTAAACACTCAACAATCCGTATCTGCCAAACAATCTCTTCTTCTGGGCTCTCAATGGTCGACACAGCGCCACTTGCTTCCTCGGCCAAGGCCCTTGACTCGGAATGTTTTTGTTCGTACACCATTTTCAAAGATTTTCTTGCGAGTACCCTTGATAGAATTCGCGGAGAATTTTCTCCAGCTTTCCAAGAATTCGCAATAGTATCATTTAACAAAAGCATGGCTTCTTTACTCTCTCCTTGAATGTTGTAGCCATAGGCGAGTTCGATCTGTACAAAGAGCTTAGTCGCCCAGTCTTGAACGTTGCAGAGGAAAATTGCCGACTGTCGTTTAAACTCTTCCCAGTCTAGCTTGTAAATGGCGTTGGTGAAAGTTTGCATGACACTTTTGTAAAGTTTTGGGTACTTCACAGTTGCTCGATGAATTTTCTTTGGAGCATAGTTACAAATTTCTTCCATTTGCTTGCTTGGGGCGAGAAAATCCATAAAAGAACTTGCTATTTCCGGGTCTGTCTCGCTCAGAAAATTCAGAAACGCTGCAACAGCATCCGTCCCTTTGTAAACAACAGAATCTATAAGCATAGCAAGTTTTACCTCTCTTTTCTTCTGTTTTTTAATCTTCTCAACTTCTCTTTCTGACAGAATGCCTAGACCTTTCAGCTTGCCAAGATAAGGCCTCGGGTTGAAATCCTTCCTCAAGCTAGACAACTTTTTACAGAAGTACTGTTCATATTCCCTTATAGTCATCTGCTCCCTCGCCAGTTCTGCTCTCATTCTGACAACCTCGTTCGTATCAAAGCTCTGCTCTTTGGCGATTGCTTCTAAGGCACTTGTTGAAAGATCAAGGTTTTTGAAACAAGTAATAGTTTCAGAACAAAAGGTTTGAAAGTCGATATCTTCCACTTCATCTTTTGGGGCAATATGACAAACCTTATTACGCAGCACCCGAAGTTGGTCTATTTCGTCATACTTCCAAGGATTTCTGTTCTTTAGGTTAGCTCCAACAGAGTCAGAGCGTAGAATGCAGTAAAACAGAATGGAGTTGTCAAACTGCGACGAATCGCCTTTAACGATAGTTTTCAGTGCCTCCCTGTTCCGTTGCCGATTTGGAATGGACTCTTTCAAGAAAAACCGCCTTCCATCTTCCCGTTTGTCGCGCCATTTTGAACCTGAAAACCTACACCACTCTTCCTTGAACAGTTCTCTCAAAACAGTCGCGAAAATGTCCATAACAATGTGTATCATCCGAAAATAGTTCAGCTGTTGCTTTGAATACGGCATGAGGGGGTCTTTAACGAGTTGCAAAGGGAATTTCGATGACTGGCTTATGACAACTGCGTGGAGCACAACATTATAGGGGGTTCTTATGCAGCACGATCTGTTCGTGTTTATTCCACGGGGTATTCCCCGAATTGTTGCTTTCAGTTTCTGATCAAAGAGATAAGACGAGATAATAACTTAATTATGTTTCAAAATCACGAGCATACAATGTACACTAATTATAGGAAATAAACAATGAGTATTGCATTAAAATCACAGGGTCCAGAGGAGATGTGTTTGTCGTTAGAACATCAAAACCCGTCGAAAACCTCTGAAAAAATGGGTTATTTTGATCGCGTTACAGTTTCGTTACACATTCTATAGACCGCAAAACAAGAAACTGAGGGCTCGCAAGATCGGCTTACAGTATAAAATACTCGGCACTTCGTGCCGCGGTCGGACGGCCTTCGGTCACTCTTCGGACGACGTGCCGTGCGCCAGCGAGGATATGGCTTGCGGTTATTGATTTTCAAAAGTCGATCTGGGTCAGATAAGAAGCGAAGAAATGTATTTATCATGGGTTATGTAACCTTTTCTTTGGGGTGTTACATGGTATGCTGTTACTATTGCTTCATCAGCGGTAGGCTATATATTCGAGTTGTTCTCATTTATATTCATTCGCGTCTTACGACCGTCCCTACGCCCTCAAAATTAAATACCCAGTGACCAGGGGTTTCTCTTAGACGTAGTTTTTTTTGCATGCTGCTATATGAAAGGTTTAGCACGTTTTGTATGTTTACTGAATCATTGTTATACGAGCATAGTTTAGATCATTTTGTAGGGTTGTTTTTCTTGCTGTAATTTTTTACATTTCCGAGTTATCATTCTGTTTGTTGTATTATTTCCATCCATTCTGTTGATGAAGGCATAATAAAGAGGGTCGCACACGGCTCGTGTTGACACACCCCAATTAAGGTTGCTTGTTACATGATAAATGTTTTATATTCGTTTGAGCGGGGTAGCGAATTAGAATATAAATCGTTTACCGTAGATTTATAAAGATCCCATTGGGCTAATTAATCGTGCTAAGCGACAGGTATATATAGACATTTTTCAAGGTGAGACTTTAAATAAGTAATTCATTTATTCACACGAAACTCCTCTGGACCCTGTGTTAAAATCAGTTATTAGTTGTTAAAAAAAGTAGACGCTCCGTGAGCGTAAACTGGCTTGCCTGTGGTACGTGTTACACACAAAAAAAGAGGGACACTGAGGGTGCGTTCGATTGGGAAATCCGGATTTAGATTTTCAAAATCTAAATCCGGATTTCCCAATCGAACGCGAAATCCAAAAACGGATTTCACCTCCGAGAAATCCGTTCTCAGGGTGGATTTTAATTAAGAAATCCAAATCCGGATTTCATGGGAAATCCGAAAAAGGATTTGCAAAACTATTCTCGTGAACAGTGGTCTTCTTTTTGCTAAGTATGCGTGCGCGTGGAAGACCGCTGATCTTAAGGATAGTTTTTCAAATCCTTTTTCGGATTTCCCAATCGAACGGTAAAAATGAAAATCCAAAAACAGATACCTCAGCGCTGAAATCGTTTTTCGGATTTCGCGTTCGATTGCAAATCCGAAATCCGGATTTTAAAATCTAAATCCAGATTTCCCAATCGAACGCACCCTGAGTTGGGTGTAATACGAATCCCCCAAAAACGACCGTGTGGGAGGCTAAGTTGGGTGGAGCACTGAAACTGGATTTTCTCCAGAGTAATGCGTTCTTCCTGCTCGTTTGCAATTTTTTTTTCCAGTTCTGAGTATAAGAATTTACAGTGTTCTAACACATGTAATACTCGTTGTTGATGAGTATATGATAAATAAAGTTGAGTTTCGTACATGTATAAATGGCCCTAATTTCTCAGCTAACTGAGCGTTGCTTTTATCATAACGCCTGACAACATCACGCATATTCTTTCCCGCAAATGATTAATAGGTAGCCAGAATTTTTAACGTCAGAAAATATTTGTTTTGAAATACAAAATGGTTAAACATTTCTGTCATCTTTAAGCCTATTTCAGGCGTTCATATAGTGGGGACCGGGCAGCGAGGGGGATCGGTGAAAAATGAGACCTTAAATGCGTTTTCAAGTCTCCGTTTTCATCTCGAAGAAAACGGAGCGAAATATTTTCAGCTATCCTCACTAATGCCCTTTCAAAAGTATCTGTTTTCGGTGTCATCGGATGACGTAAGCGTTTTCACTTCGATGCGTTTTCACCTATCCACGCCAGAAACGATGCGATGCGTTTTCAAAAGGCTCCACTTTTGAAACCGTTTTCGAAAGTCTTCGTTTTCCTCAGCGTTTTCGGGCGTTTTAGTATGGATGAAAGGCGAAAACGCATCAAAATGTAAGCGTTTTCAAACGAAAACGCATTAGTGTGGATGGGGCCTTATAAGGCACCCGCAGTCTTGACACTTTTAACTTATGTGACATGTCACGACAGGGCAGATAAACTGCAGCAGCTTTAATAGTGTTTCCATGTTGCGTTCCATTTGTGAACAACAGTTTTGACGTTGAGGTGGGGAAAATCAAAGGGCGACGGAATGCACCTTACTTGTCCTTACTCGGAGAACTTGTCGAGACATGCAGTTCCCGTGGCAGTCGTCCATAAGTAGCCCCGTGGTTCCAAACATACTTTCGAAATGTATACTATTTTATCACGGAGGCTTTTGCATATTCTATGTTATATTTTTCCAAGAGTGACAAGTTATTCCTAATTTTCAAACTGTTGTAAAATAGTCTTTTTTTGCGTGTATTGTTGGAACGTATATCAGAGATTGGTTTTGTTAAGCATTTGGGTTGTTCTAGCGAACACTTCAGAGTGACACTATGTATTTAGACGACTGACTCTTTTTTTCTTTTCATGGAAACTTATCTGGTGCAGGTATCTATGTCGCTTATGTATCGGTCAAATCAAAGTTTCAGCATGCCCCCCCCCTGGGCATACCCCGGGCATTTGACACCTTTGCCGTCCCGGGGAGGAGGGAATTTGATTATCAGAGTCTTCCAGGGGGTGGGGAATTTGATCCCCATGCTTTAGGGGTGGGGAATTTGAACTGAACCCTCGATTTCACGTAAAATCTTTGGCGTGGCGAGCTATCATGGGGGACGCGGTGTTAAAGGATTTTCGTGGAAAAGATTGTGCCTTTGTGGCCAATTGGTTGCGAGGAAAGGCCTTAAACAAGCTTTGTGCCGTATTTGAAGTATTTAAATTTTAAAATTTTTAATATTGGATTCAGGCTTTGAATGTATGAATGTATTTTGTTTACAATGAAATACAATAACTATATCGGCGATTCAATGAGCAACAACATAAACGAAATAAGATAAAAAGCTCAGGTCATCTACTTTGACCTACTGCAAGTATGTTAATTAATAAGGTGAACGATGATGCATGTCAGTGAAATGGTCATGATGTAGTAATCTCAGTATAGGTGGGATCTTTTTTATAGAACGCTTTGTATGGGCTTATTCTATTTTGCGAAACGAAACGAAACGAAACGAAACGAAATATATAGGAGAGGGAGAAAAAATGCTTATTAACCTCAACACAACTTAAGACAACATTGACAATGTGTTTGGAAGTAATAGTTAACGAAAAAAGACGGATTTTTATCTTTTTCGCAAAGTAGTAATTTCAATACAATTACTATTTTGCGAAATGACGTTTTCAGCTTTATTTAATAAATATGTCCTTTTCGTCAATATTGCTTTTCCGGCCTAGGCTGAGTATTCCTATTTTTCTGCATTCATGAAAGCAAATGCAAGTTCAAAGGTTGTAAATTTCAAGCAAGTACCGTCAATGTTTTTCAGTTGTCAAAACTCGCAGTTTCAATTGCCCCAAAATTTTATTTCGCAGATTAACAGAGGAAGCTTTCCTCTTTCTCACGAATACCATTTTTATATCGAAAGCCATGTACCAGAAAGGGATTTTCGTCGTTTAAAATAGGCAAAATCGAGAGTTGCGATAATACTGATTTAGAGGGTAGAAGGAAAAAAAAATTCAAATTGGAATCTTTTGAAATTCTAAAAACTTTAGGATACCAAGAAAGGATCATTCAATTACGTATGACCGAAATAGTCATGCTATTTGGTTCCCTTCCAAATTACCAAGGGAGGAGATGAAGGACATTTTCGGCGGTTTTGAGGCCTGTCAAAGGTAAAACATAAAAAAAATTATTAATTCGGAAAATGTAAATCAAAACGAACTGATTCTTGTATTTTCTAAAATAGTTTCCAAGGGTCTTTGTTGTGACAAAGTTTGGGAGATTTCGATTTTTCCATCTTGCACACCTATCGGTGGTTTACAGACAGATCTTTTGCACTGCGCATCTCCTACTGCGCATAACTTTGCGAAATCAAATACGGTGAAAATTCTCGCTGGTCGTCTAAACAGACTCAGGAAAACCGCCTTTGTAGTAAATAAGAATTTAAGCCCTGCAAAGACAACTTTTAACTACAAAAATAGGCGAAAAATTCAAACTCGCCCCAGTCTTTTCGCGAAAATTGATCCTTTGAGGTTGAAATTGTTCCTTTATCGTGTTATTGCAAATAAACGAGCATGGTGACCCCCCATTTTTTATTTTTTATTTAGATATTTTATTTATACTTTCATATTTATATATATACATAATTCTACCTGGAATTACGTTGGATATGAAATGAAACGCGCCTCGTCGGCTATTTATCATCTCATATCCAACGCGCGCTCGTGGAATAATTGAATTTCATTGTATTAAAAACTCTAACACGTACTGACTACTACACGACGGCAAATTGATCAGCCGAAGTAGCGTTCAGTCCTCTCTTTTTCTTGAGTTCTCATTTGAACTTGCGTTGTACACATATTTTTACGATTGAAAAGGACGCTATTTAGAAATGATAATCATTTTTGTGATTTTTGTTTGATAATTTTTATTTTTTAATATATTTTTTAACCTCTTAAATTTTTATCCCGTTACTTGTTTTCTCGTTATACCGTTACTCGTTACTGCGTTACTGTGTCTAGTAACACCCCTATTACACTGTTCAATACTTTACTTTGTAAAGAGAAACCGGAAAAGACAGTGGCCTTTCGCTTTCACATCACAGGAAAGGAATTTATCATGACACTAGGTGTGTTGTTTGCATTGAAAGAGCTTGGCCATAGCGCGTGAAGTTCAGGCAAAAAAAGCAATCTAAACATGCTACAAGTCGATTCAATTGGGTAATTTAACCAGTAACCGATACTTATCGAAAAATTCAATAAAGAAAAGGCACTTACCCCGGGGGGTACTCCCCTGTAAAAGCGACGGGGGTGCTAGTTGGAAAATTTCGAAACCACCCTAAGAGGTGCTAGAGTCTTGTTTTATGTGCGTGTCCCACCACCCCTAAGAGGTAACAATTCAACAACAACAAATTATATAACTGGCACTGCAAATTTTAATAGTCATAGAGATAACTCTCGAACACTTTCTTCTCGAGGACTTTTTGAAAGTTTTGTCATAAATCTTTATCCTCATAGGCGATAATCTTACCGTAGGCCCCTAAAAGGTATCGAGACAACTCTGGCAGCAGTCATTTTAGGTTTTAGCACCCTAAGCGGTACCAATCCCCAAATTTAAACCCCTAAAAGGTACGACGAGCACCCCTGTCATTTTTATAGCGGAGTATCCCCGGGGCACTTCCCTCTTAGTAGAATCCGAAAGGAAGATAAATCTAGAAAATTAATGATATGAACTGCGAACAAAAGAAACAGGATAAAAAAAAGCGTTGCCCTCATTTTATGGAGTACTTAAGACAAAGACAATCAAACAAATGAAAAAAAAGATTGGTAAGACATCTAATCATACCTTAAGTCCTCTTTATGTATGACGACTCGACGACTGAATCTGGAGGACTGCACTAGAGTTTAAGTAATGTTAAAAGGGGAATTTACCGTCACTTTGTCATTGAAGACGCGGTTTGATAAATTATCTTTGGATCAGTTATCAGCCCCTAATCGGATCAGTTAAGGGAAGCTGCCAACCTACTCCTCCCCAAACCCAACGTTAACAATAACTTCTCACTTTTTGCAAAATGTTGGGTTAGCGGAGGGGTAGGTGGGCAGTTTCTCAGAAACCTTAACTAATCCTTATTTATCTCTCAATTGTTTTTTTGTAAATTGTTTTCATCCCTTGTTGAAAGCTGTTGCTGTAACCACAGTAGGCCAAGCTCGAAATATGAGCATCGGCGACCAATCGGCATTTGTCGAAGTATAGGGATTTGTTTGGAGAAAAACCCCTATTATTTCTGTAACCTACGAAAATGAAAGGATTTCAATAAAAAAACAGGTTACCGGGGGCACCCAACGAGAATATAGTTCAAAACCACTTAAACCAAGCATTGTTAAACGTATTTTAGTATTTAAACGCTAGATATAGGCATATTTTTATCGCGTGAAAATTTTTCATCTGTTCGGATTTCCTAGCTGAAAGTCTAGTGATCCGAAAATTATTGGGATCCATACTTACCTTTTCGAAAATTTCAGCCTGGAAAAAGGCTCCCGAAAATTTTAGGTGACCTTTTAACGGGAAAAATCCGTTAAAATGGGCAATTATGCCATTTTTTAGATGTTCGAAAATCCTAGGAGAGGCAGGCAAGCAAGAAATTTTACAACCAATGTTCCGAAAATTCTAGATCTCAAATCGTCTTCCGAACAGATATTTTCCGAAAATTGTCGTTGGGTGCCCCTGAGGTTTACCTTGCATAATGTATAGATTTAGCCTGGGCTAAAAGCGAAGCTCCTATTAACTCGAATTTATAATTTAAATCCAACAATAGACCTGTATTCCACAAATCAGTTAACGTTAGAGCACATTCATGTGACTTTTGAGGGAAAGGCTATAGTATAATGTCAATAATGGCAACGTGGTAGCTGTCCTAGATAAGATTCCTCGGAACTTAACTGGACCATGCCAGTTTTGAGAACTCAGTCATTTTTCAAGTTACTCAGTGTTCAATGACACTTTGAATTCTGTGTTACTTTCAGTTATTTATGATAAGACTGGTTTGGCAAACAAAGTTGACAAAGCACAAAGAATACAATCATAATAAGGAAGATTAAACTCGGATCAATATTTCGGTCGCGATCATCAACAGCAATAATCATTTTAGTAACAACCATTAACGCTGCGAATGAAACTATTACTTTCACGTGGTCACTCCACATTCTATAGCCTCCCTGGTCCATTAGGTCATTGTCAATGGAGCCAACTACTGCCATTCTGTTCTGTAATATCCGCTGGCAACTTTCAGACACTGATTCTAACTTCGTCCGCCAATGGGTGCTTAACCCGTCGTGGCCCTGTGCACCACGTGTCTTCAAATTTTTATTAAGAAAGTTAGCTGAAATTTCATCAATGACATTGCAGAACTCTGTAGCTTTGATCTCTCTTCCACTGACAGAACTAGAAAGGAAGCCCTTTTCGTCAATTACTATAAAAGGAAAAAGTTCTTGAAACTCCTGTCGTAATATATCTTTAAACAGTCTACACTGCTCCTCGTGATAGTTCTTGTTCCTTATTTTGTTCTTTGTGCGGGTCTGTCTCCTCTGGACTGGGTTTGGCTCTGGAATATCGTCTTCGTATCGCGTTGAATGGGGGAAATCGAAAAGTCTTCCTTCCCGTTGGCGACCAGCTAGGTATTGATTTGATCCCTGAATACAAACTTGATCCCTGACATCATTTATTGCTTTCCTTTTGACTGTTTCGATTCCTCGTAGGTCAAAGGATTCCAACAGTTTGTCAACTTTTGACGAAAGGCATATCTTGAACTCAGCAGGTTCAAATCCGAGTTTCTTGTAACTGAAGCTGTATTTCAGGTGCTTTCTCGGGTCCATCGCTGAAATAAAATTAGCTCAGGCTAAATCTACTGCACACGGTGTAAGGTTGAGGATGACAAGCGTGCAATCCCGACAGAGGGGAGAGAGAGACGACTGAAATTCGCAGTCTAGTGAAGCAAATGCATGCTTAGCTATGCTTTGACTTTAAAATGGTAATGTTTATTGTTAAATATTTAATGAAATGTTTAGCTAACTAAACTGATCAACAAAATTGCAGATACGACATGAATTAAAAAATATGTATCATTCATTCGAAATATTTCTTCAGCTTATCAAATTTGGAGGGGATTTGTCATTACTCCGTTCCTGACGTCAGTGACCGACGTCATTGATGGAATAAATCTTCCACGATGGACATTACACAGACCACAAGATAGTGGTGGCGCAGTATATCAACTGTTTTGGCCCCGGAAAGCTTAAGAAAGTTGCCGAAGACTTCACAGCTTTGCAGAGATAAAATAGCCGAATTAATGGCTAGAAAAAAAAAAGCAAAAAAAGGCAGGGATGTCACGTCAGGATGCTACGTGCTTAAAGAATTTTAAATGAATGATCGGAATTGTGCAGCTCGGTTAAAAAAAGGTCGTAAAAGTTACGATTTTGCTGAAAACAAAAAGGTGCTCCAAAATCGCAGGAGTTTTCGCATGCGACTGATACTAAAAAAAAAAACAGAAACAAAAACAAACAGTGCCCTATCGGCTAGGAGGGTAACCACCTTTCCATCACAAAAGGGTGACCCGGCTTGGTGGGAGCCAACGTTTTGTTTTTCACTGTGTAAACGCCGTTCGCCAATTTTTTTACGGAAAGGTATGAGAAGTTGGCTCGCCCAGGGTAACTCAGGTAGGCGGGTCAGCCTTCTATCTGGGACAACTTTTCTTCATTACACGGGGCCTTAATAGTTAAATGGAATGTTAACGAATGTGTAAGTTGATACAGATGCATGCTAAGATCATTAGCGAAGAAACGTTCAAGGAAGTTATAATTCACGGTCAAGGAAGCTGGCGTAAAAGAAGCACGAAATAGACGCTACTCGAGTGATGACTTTTCAGCTAGGTGCACTGGATTTCTTTTAGCTTTCGGGGTTAACAAAAAGGCAAGGAATAAAAATGGTATGAATGCCGATTTTATAGCCTAACTTGCCTGTCTGAATCGTACATATGAGAGTTTTAATTGCCTGCTTATTTGAGGTCAATTGCTGTTTCGTGGTCTGATATTCCTCGAAATTGGCGGCATCTGGAGCAAATAAAAGATGTTTGCCTTCCGTTTTTTCCAATCGTTTTTTTTTTCCTAAATTTATTTTATCACCCTTATAAAAGTTACAGACGATAAAAGTGGATCTTACAACACAACAACAACACAACACTTTTTACAATGGCCTGGTTTAATGATAAACTGCAGAATTTTTCTAGCTGGTATTTAATTCTATTTGGTGGGTAAAGTCTGAGAGGGTTAGTGCTTTGTTATGAAGTTTACAAAAAAAAATGTAAAATCTTATAAATAACAGAGAGTGGTTTCATTTTGCTGCAAGGCGGCTCTCGCTGGGTGAATTTTCAGAAAACCAAAATAAAGATTCTTTCAATGAAGTAAGAAAGTTGAAGTTATTCTTAGATTTGAACCACCTGAATGCATGCACTTTCCCTGAAGGACAAAGTTAGCCTTTTGAGAAATTGCGGGCCTCAGTTTTGCTCAAAATACGAATATTATTGGCAAAAATTCGGTGATATCTTTTTAATAAGTTTGTACTTGTTTTCAGCAAAATCGTAACTTACACCCTTTTGCACCTAGCCCCTCACAAAGGAATAAATATTCGAATGTTTTCTGTTCAGTCATCCATCACAGTCATCCTCAGACTATTTCTTATTGACTTTGGGACTAACATCCTCCTCGATCTACATCTTATTCAATTCATATTAAACGCAGTCTCATTTGATAATTGTCAAATGAGAGAAAGGATGGCCAATACTGATGAATACACTTGGTTGGGCTGATTCAAACATAGATATCAAGTGAAGACAAAACATGCATCTTAGCATTTTGGAAGCCAATGGAGCGTTTTAGAGCGGTCAAAACTGTGCTCAAAGCTTATGTCGAAATTTCTTTAAAGCAGAGAAAATTTCAAAACATTTGACCAGAAACTTTCCTCGTTCACGTCTTGTTTTACTAATCGTTTCCGCCAAGGTTATCATGATATTAAAACAAAATACACAATCACGATATTACTGGCGGATGACTGATTGTGAAATGCAGACGCTGCTGCGCTTGTTCCTGAAGCGGAAGCAACGTGAATTCCCTATCCAGTTTCATATTAAACATCATACGCAACTACACTAATTTCTGCATAACCAGCAAGCTTATCGGCGCAAGGGACTTAGCTGCGGTTTTATTGGTTTTCAATACCCAGTTTCGTACGGAATTCAGTTATTATTATCAATTATAATGGTTGCCCTCAAGACTTAGCAATTTATTCGAGATATAAACTTAATGAAAATCCTATGTGATGGTGAAATGTCAGCTCCTTGTATAAACTGCTTTTAAGTGGCATATTTCGACTCTGCTTCAATATGTACAACAAAATAGTCGGAATATAAGATAGAACGTCGTTCTGATCATGTTCAGTATTGTGATTGGTTCTATATATTTCATATTCATACAAAACACAACTGTAAACAGTGCAGTCTGGTCTTGGGCAATCTTATCGTGAGCCAGTCTACCTAAAATTGTTCACGGCCCTTTAGTTAGTACAGTTAGTAAATCAAATTAATATTGCAGTTTGCAAAATGCACCTTTTTCAGCTTAATACATACCTCAAATGTCTTTTAGCGCCTTAAAATCACCCTAAACTACATGAACCAACAGCCAGCAAAAAGAAGGCTGAGGATCGAAGCGACTGCGCAAGTGAATTGACCTAAAGGGTAGGGGCGCTCTCATTCAAACTGACTCGTTCCAGGGGCGCTTCCCATTTAGTCAAAATTTCCGGAATTTCTGGTTCGTTGGTGGATGGAACACGTTTCGTCGGTTCGTCCCACTGGAAAAGTCCCAGAAAAAGTGGAAAATCTAAAAAGGTGGGCCCGTTTTCCCCGTTTGAATCGTTAGTACTATGCAAAAAAGGATCAAAACATGCTGTAATTTATGCGCCGAGCTTGGGCCGCCTGTGAAGGGTAAAAAGTGGACCACCGATCATTTAACTTTGAGGTAGACTGTTCACAGTCCCCTATTTTTTCGTAAGATCGTCAGGATCGAGCACTAGTGGCACGGGCGGCCGTCAGGGTTTCATATGTATCGGGGTGGGGGGGTCGCGAAGCGGTGTAGATTTGACACTCAACCAAGATGGCCGCGCCTGTAACGCAAAGTCTCCAATCAGCGTGTTACGGAGAAAAGAGGACTGTGAACAGTCTAACTTTGAGAGGATTGATGTGACGAGCCAAACATGGCGAAGAGCCATGTACTCCAGATACGACAAGCCTAGTATACCCCTTCACTTAACCTCCTATTGCCATGCCGTGTGTAAATACCAACACCTCGTGGTGTAATGTGCACTGTGGGGGTACAGATTTTGAAAAAGTTAGCCTGTACACAGACCTTGCTTCATTTTTCTTTTCGTTTCTTTTGGAAAACATGGGCGTTCGCGAGAGCGAGGAGAGCGCGCGAGCGAAGCGAGCGAGCATCCCTTTGCACTGGCGGTCAATAAATTCCCCGCGGTTTATTTTTTATCGCGCGCGCTCGACGGACTTTGAAGAGAAAATAGAGGGTCTGTGAACAGGCTATGAAGAAGTAGACAAGCAGAACTTTGGTAATTGAAATCGGTTTAATCTCTTCTGTGCAGCAGTGAAAACTTTGAACAGAGGTAAAACTGGATATATACTAGCTTACAGAGTGCTTCTATTTATACTGAAAAGATAAATTTAATTAAGTTTAAGCGAAATCAATAGCATTTATATGCAGAAAGTAGGTATTAGGAGGTGCTATAACTGATAGAACAGAAGAAACCGAAATTTAGTTGACTTCATCTGCGCGTGGAAAAATTTGCAAAATTGGAAATATCTCTACAACCAAATTCCTATACCACAACTAAAACGATGGGTTGAAAGGAACCAAATTTTCCTAAGATTCTGTCGAAAGAAATTCCACTTTGAAATTAGGAAAGTAAGTACAATTTTAACTGAAAATGACCCAACTGAGACCAAAAAACTCAGAAGGTGTTGACTCGCGTGGCACTAGGCTAGATTTAATGAGATTCGCAAAGGTTGATTATTATTCAAGTTTGGAAGCAAGAGTGAGAACTAATTCCAGTCTTGAACAGACGAACTTCGTTTAGGAAATTGTTAATTTTCCTTTGCGCTGCTGAAGACACCTACTAAGTAAAGTCATTATTTCAATCTAACGAATTTGCTTTTGTGTTTCTGAAATAAGCTTGAAGAGGTGTTTCTTAAGGTTAACTACCCTGTGAGTAGAGGCTACATTTTCGCTGTGTGAGCTGTAGCACGCCAGCTCACACAGCGAAAATGTAGCCTCTACTCGCGCGCGGGGTAAAATTTAGCTGAAACTAAAGCCAAATTTGAGTTAATGTTACAGATGTTAAGATCTAAACCGTACAACTACTATTTTTAAAATAACTTAAAATCCATCACCAAAATAGAATAAAACGTCGGTTTAAAACTCTGTGTCTAGGAATTCCAATCTTTTGGCTGCAATGAGCCCAGCAGCAAATGAACAAAAACATGCCAGCTGTTTGGTCAGAATTAGAGACACGTATGTGGTCTTGACAAAGAGTTATTGTAAATACATTTCTTAACTAACTTGAAAAGTACGAGTAAGGAGGTTTGTGTATATGTGGATTATATAAGATATTCCAACACCAAAGATATACTTAACAATATAATGAATGAGGCTGAGTATCTTATGAAGATTATGGAGATCGAGGAGGGTGTTATCCGTCGAGGCCGTAGGCCGAGGCGGATAACACCCTCCGAGATCTCCATAATTCTTCATATGATACGAAA